ATATAAATAAATTGATGAACGATCCCCTTAAAATTATTTGAGGTCGTAGACCGACCCTGGAGGATAACAAAAAATCTTATTTCCGTCGCAAAAAGCCATTGTAGTCGTTAAATATGTTCATATATCTTATTTTCTTATATAAGAATAGCAACTGTTTGTTAAGAAAAAAAAGAAAACAAAGACATACGCCACTCGGTCCATTTTCAAGGGAGGTAACCTATTTAAATAATTATTTTTCAAATAATTGTATACTATTTTAAACAGAAACAGAAAATGACAAAGTATAGCATTTGTTTTAGTATAAATTTAAGTTACTAATTAAGCTACGTATCATAATTAAATTAAAACAAGGTAATTAAAAAGTCTAGTGACAATTTTAGCGAAATTTTCATTATGTTATCTAAAAATAGCTCTGTCGTAGCGTAAATCAACAGCAGGGTTAGTAAAACCATTGGTTAGTTATTGAAACGTTTTTATTAAAAAAAATTCAGTATTTTACATGTTTTATTTACAATAGAGTTACATGACTAAAAACCATTGCGCGCCTAGGTACCGAACGTGATGGCGCAGCCATTGAACGTGATGGCGCAGCTATTGAACGTGATGACGCGTGTGGTGTGGTTGGATAAAAATGCCTACTAATTTGGTCCAAATTTTAATTAATTCAAAAAAAATTTTGTGACCGAACAAAAGAATATTTTTGAAAACTTTCTTCGTCAATATTGTTCTAAATTATGGCAGAAATCGATTGGTACATGTTTCAAGTCGCTAAGTGGTTTGGTTGCCGAGATATGGGCCAAAAACTGCATTTTTTCGAGGTTTTTTGGCTTTTCCGGGAAATCCATGAAAGAAACCTGGAATTTTTATGGCCTATGTTCATCCTCGTAACTTGCTTAACATAATTGCTTTGGAACTAGTCCTCGATATTGCTTCGTTGAGGAGGAGATACGACTTAAAGCTGCGGACACACATCCATTCATTCATACATACATACATCCAGAAATGACGGGTTAATAAACGCAATTCTCCAGAATGGAAATTGCGCTAAAAATAATTTTAAAAGTCAATGTAATAGAAATTATTGAATATACTGTTCATGGAACCTCTGTAGTTCTATTTCCAATTTAGTAATACATTTCGTACTTTCAAATAATTTCTCTGAAAACGGATGATAAACAACATTCAACAACATCTTCTCTAAAATTAGCATTACTGTTTAAATTTAAGCACTCCACACCTTATCCATCACTAAATAATTAGTATTCAAATTATCAACAAATGCTTTTGAAAACCTAAGCGAAGCTAGGCAGTATGCCTAGTATATATATATATATATATATATATATATATATATATATATATATATATATATATATATATATATATATATATATATATATATATATATTCCATATATACTTGTAAGTATGTGTATACGCAAGTGTATAACTATTTTAATTTTTTTTCTGCTGAATGTATTTAATTCCCCCCCCCCCCCCTCCATACATGGTTTAACATATAGTTTATTACGATTCTCACCCAAACCGTTTTCCTCAGGCGTATATATTGCAATGTTGATTTGGTGTAACTCTCCCCGCCCCCCTCGTCACACCCGCGGTGATTGCTTTACACTGTGTTCAGATAATACTAACGATTTGTATTTCTATTCGGTTATAATTTCAGCTGCATGTGGCATGTTTTCTTTACCACTAGCAGATTTACGTCATGGTGTCACCCCCCCCCCCCTTTGCTCTTAAAAGACTATTTAATTAACTCTAATTAATCATTTAATTAAGTGAAATTATCATTTTACAATATATGTTTTACTTATTTTTGCTTTGCTGTCACCCACTAAATGGTGTCTCCCGGTGCGGTCCGCACCCCCGCCCCCCCCCCCCTCGCTACGCCACTGGTTCTACTTATATTTAAACATTTCTGTAATTTGGTTTATTTGATTTCTCTAACAGGAAGATCCGCAAGTATAGAGACCCACAGAGAGAGAAGATGAAGAGCTACCTTCTTCTTTATTCCCTACACCTCGTCTGGGGGCTAAGTATAAACTGTGTTTAATTGAATACACTCATACACTCATACACTCATACACGCTGTGACGTGGCCTAGATGTTCATAGCGAAAGCGTGTAGGCACGGAGAGATTGGGTGTGAGAGTCGCCTCCCCTGACACGTGTGTGAACTCTAGTGTGTAAGCAGTGTGTGGTATCGTCAACTTAGGGTAGCATGTAGTCAGTGTTTTCGTCAATGTTCACTGTTTCTCTGTTGTAGTTGAAAATTATATTGGATTATTACATTTGAACTGTGTTTTAAATTGTGTTATACCTTGTTCCACTATGAAATGGAAAGCTAACCATAACAACGCAAACACACACTCACACACACACATACACACACACACGTCGTCTGTGGTCTAAGTATAAACTGTGTTTAATTGAATACACTCATACACTCATACACGCAAACACACACACATACACACACACAAACACACACACACACACACACACACATAGGCACACCCATGCATACACACACACAGTGATGATGTCAATGTGTCTCTGCTTCAACGCGGATGTTGCCATTTTGTGTTCAATGATGAAGTGAACTCTAATTAAATATCATTTTTAAGTGGTGAACATTTAATTTCCTGCGCACATTTTGAATTTGGTGTTACCCCCTCAAGTATGTAATCCGGTGCAGTCCATCAAGATAAAAGTTCCGATAAACTGAACCATACATTAGTGTTTCTTCCAGACTTTTTTCTCGGGGGAGGCACTTGATATTTTTTGTTGGGGCGGTCTACATTTTTCGGGGGGGGGGGGGGGAGGACGGGGGGGACGGGACACTAGTTAAACTGTGTGTTTACTATATAAATCCCATCTCGATCGGGGGGAGGGGCGTTAGATGCCTAAAAGAAACTCTGAACCGTATATAGTTACTAAAGTGTGAGTAAATCACAACCTAAACTATGTTTTACTGACGATGTTGGATTTCGACTTAGGCTACACGAAGTCTTCATGTACAGCAAAAAACTGCGGTGTTGTACCACGTCCTTATATTCAATCACTCACTTTCTCAGCAACATGCTGAACCATGTCATCTTATTCAATTACTCATTTTCACAGCAAATGATGTTGTACCACATCTATTTATTCAACCATTCACTTTCACAGCAAATGATGCTGTAACATATCTATTCAACCATTCACTTTCTCAGCAAATGATGCTGTACCACATCTATTAATTCAATCATTCACTTCCCCATCAGTGTGGAACTCATCCAACAACAGATGGTACATCTGTCACTGTGCTGACGACCAGTGTATGACGGATGGGACTTGTAGACCCGGCTATCAATGTGTCAGAGGCTGGTTCGGTCCCGCTTGCCAATACAGTGAGAACATCTTGTTTATTTTTTATTTACAGTTAATATTAGTTGGTTGGTTAGTTATAGTTTATTTATTTAAGGTCGGCATGTTCACAGTATAGTTTAAAGTCGGTATATTCATAGTATACATTGAAGTCGGTATGTCAAGTGTAATTAGCGTCTTTATGTTCACGGTATAAATTTAAGTAGGTATGTTTACAGTATACATTAGCGTCGGTATAATAACAAGAAGCCTATCCATTAACGTTGGTACGTTTACAGTATACATTTAGGCGGCGAACATAGTTTATGCATGTTTTTTTTTTTAACTGCTGTTTTAAAACTCAATTATAAGGTATAATAGTGTAGGCCTACAACATACTTTCATTTGATAGGAATAGATTGATGAAAACATTATATTTGCTTGTGTTAATGTTATATTTAATAAAAACTATAATTGCGCTTATTACTGTGATATCCAAAGAAAACGTTACTCTTATAAAGATGTACAACATGATTATTTTGTACTGGGTGGGGTGTATGGCTTTTATGACGACATGTGGCTGTAGAGAGATGAGACTAACAAACGAGCAACTATTACTTCATAACAATTATTGAGGACCACTAATTTATATCTATATGTGTATCATCGCTCCTCTTTAAGTTATCAATGTTCTTACAAACAGAGGACCTGGCTACTGAAGCCAACATAACCCTTGTACCTGCCGGTCTTGATACACGCTTGTTGACGGATGGTAACGACACGACTTGTGTTAATGTCACATCAGCAGCACTAATATGGGGTGCAGCACACTACTTCACCTGGCTTAGGATCACGTCAGGTCACACAGGCGAGTCACCATGGGCTTGTATTGTTTTGTTTCCTGCAGTTTGTGTATGTAGAATAGTCAACCAGGTGAGTCACCATGGGCTTGTATTGTTTTGTTTCCTGCAGTTTGTGTATGTATAATAGTCAACCAGGCAAGTCACCGTAGGCTTGTATTGTTTTGTTTCCTGCAGTTTGTGTATGTAGAATAGTCACACAGGCGAGTCACTGTAGGCTTGTATTGTTTTGTTCCCTGCAGTTTGTGTATGTAGAATAGTCAACCAGGTGAGTCACCACGGGCTTGTATTGTTTTGTTCCCGGCAGTTTGTGTATGTAGAATAGTCACACAGGCGAGTCACCATGGGCTTGTATTGTTTTGTTTCCTGCAGTTTGTGTATGTAGAATAGTCAACCAGGCAAGTCACCGTAGGCTTGTATTGTTTTGTTTCCTGCTGTTGGTGTATGTAGAATAGTCAACTAGGCAAGTCACCGTAGGCTTGTATTGTTTTGTTTCGTGTAGTTTGTGTACGTAGAATAGTCAACCAGGCAAGTCACCGTAGGCTTGTATTGTTTTGTTCCCTGCAGTTTATGTATGTAGAATAGTCAACCAGGTGAGTCACAGTAGGCTTGTAATATTTAACTCTGTGCAGTTTATGTATGCAGAATTGTATTTATTTTTAGAACACTATTTCTGAATTCCACATTGCGAAGGTTTGGTTCATAATCTAGTTTATACTAATCCTTAAACATCTTACAGTCTGAATTAAAAATACAAAATTTGTTTTTAAATAGATTCAGGAAAAAATAAAATAGAACTAGAGTTGGAAAACAACAGCACTACTATAGAATGCAGCAATATAACCACATACATCGTCTCCAAGACAACAAGGGACATAGTCTGTCGTGCAGGGGATATAAGTGACAAGCTCATCATTAAAATACCAGCTGGTCAAGTTATTTGCTCCTTGTTTATAAGTGGAGGTAACCCTTTTAAGTTTCTGGTCACACGTCTAATACACTTATCACGACACCATTCTATAGGTCTATCCGTATCTTTTGTGCATGCTTGACCCGGAATCTGAAAAACAAGAAATCGAGTAATTGTATTGCTACATTAGGATGCTTTTCTCCTAGGTTGGATCAATATGGCAAACGTCTCTTATATAGATATCAATGCATTAAAATTTAAACCTTAATAATAGTGATGTTTCAATACCCAGTCCCTCTGTGTGAGTAATTAAAGAAATAAAAAAGAAGATCTCTATTTCAGGTCTACTGACTTCAGAGATATTTTTAAAATCGTGATAAACGAACACTGTTAGAAATGTGGAACTTAATCATATCGATAAAATGTAGATTACGAAACTCTCAAGATAAAACTCGTAAAATTTTAGAATTAATTTACGTGAAACATAGACCTATGTCTTTTAAGAAACTTTCAAGATAATATTGTGATATTTTGATGACATCAATGTAAAAAAAGGATCTTTTTAATTGAAGTCCCAATACACTTAAATATATAGGTAAACAAACATACTATAGTAAAGCTAAAACAATTTTTAAGAATGTCTAATTTTAAATAGAAGTGAGGAAGTCGGCGTGGTCGGGTCGATTAAGCTGATGGTTGTTCATGGTTGCTGAACCGATAAGTCCGCGGGCAAATTTCAGATCAGCAGAAGTTGGAGGTATTGTACTAGTCCAGCGTTCAGATTTGATCAGAGGTCGCGGTGATACCCGAAACGTCATTGCATATTTTATGAATGTCTAGGCGCTTTCTACAAACTAAGAACAGAACATGGTGTTCTCCAACAACTGTATACCAGAATTGAGTTTTCCTTTCTGAGCTAACAACTGCTCAAATTTTCGTACGTGAGCACCTTTCAGATCAGCAGAGGTATTGTACGCGTCCATCGTTCAGATTTTAGCAGAGGTCGCGGTGATCCCCGAAGCTTTCTACAAGTTAAGAGCAATACATAGTGTTCTCAATGAACTGTATATCATAAGTGAGTTTTCCTTTCTGAACTAACAACTGCTCAAATTGTCGTACGTGGGCACATAATAAAAATCACTACGAACCAATCACTGACCAGCGGTTAAGGCTACCAATTCAATTTACGTTGGCAAAAAAGCACCCCCAGCCTCCTCTAGAAATGAGTATCTTTTGTGTTATAACTGTGTTGCAGGTAGAAATGTGGCATTTAATCAGACTGCTGCCCAGACTAGTGATTACAGTAAATCATCCAAGGCAGGCAAGGCAGTAGACGGAAATACGGAAAGCGTATTTACAAAAGGAAGCTGTACACACACGGCGAGCACAGACAAAAATCCCTCATGGAATGTCACATTTGTTCAAGAGTCAAATATCCACACGTACGTCTTGTATAACAGGAAAGTCAACCGAGGTATTAATTGATTATATGAATTTTTCAAAAAATACCTACTTACAAAATTATTTTTGCAGGCTCAATTTCTTTAATTGATATTGTATATTAGCCTAAATGATATAAAACTTGAGGGGGGGGGGTGATTAAAACACACAAGGAGCGTTTTCTGCACACACAGTTTCTTTTTAAAAAATGCAATGGCTGCGTCCGAGGAGGGAGCGATTTTTCTCTTAATACGGTTTATAAAAAATAAATGCGATATGACATAGTTCGACCGATTGCCCATAAACTTTGGGCAGTTGACTATAATATAAGGTAGAGGTTTCTGAAAAAAAATATTGAAATTCGTATGGACGTTGCCAGTGGAGGGAGAGCACCTGAGAGCAACCTGCTACGTCCCTTGCAAGTGGACGGTGGCCAAAGTGCGTTCTTCTACCTCATTATAATCAATTATATATAATTGATTATGATTAAGACTTAAAATCTCTAATTAGAGCGACTTCAGAATTTTGCATTGACAAGTGGCGTGAACAAAGACCCAACTTTCACCTACACTGAGAACAGTGGACAGACGAAAAGTATGTATCAGATATCCACACTGGCAAGACCGGCGTCCTATGTAAAGATATCTGCAGGTGGCAAGAGTAACCCGAGAATTCTCATTTTATGTGAGGTTTTCATTTTTGGTGGTGAGTTAATGACAGTTAATCATTTCAACATTTCATGTGTTCTCACTATATGTTTGGGTAGGTCTGCTACACAGTGACCACCAGATGACCCTTGTCAGGTTATAGTTGATCAATTTATTCTGCTGCGCTGACTGTCATCTGGGGACATCTATACATAAAATCACGATTTTTTGCCGTTTATTACCTCTCGCACCAATCTCCCCCTCCCCCGTCACACATCGTCACAAAAAGCCAGACCCCCTCCCGTATATTGACGTCACACCTCAGCCTACCCCCCCCCCCCCACCCCCTTAAAATTGCAGATGAATTTTTCTTAAAATATAATTTTTTTCCAAAATCTTGTCTGAATTCTGTCAACATAGAATATTAAAATTAATTTCTAATACAATTTATTACAACAGTTTTTAACACGCGAAATAACGGCTAAAATTCGTTTTCCAACATGGCTTTTTCATAATGCAAAAGTGTGACGTCAAACGATCTGAAACCCCCTCCCCCCCTCCCTCCTAACGGATGACACACCTTCACGAAATTACGTACCCACCTCTCACTACCAGTGTTACGACCTCTATATATGTATATTTATAATAAATATCATATTTATTAGCATATAAGCTACAACTAGAAGATAAATGTTCATTTATTAATCAATGTAAGATTACACACCGGCCCACACAATAAATACCAACAATAACAGTACATAAACTCAATAAAGTTACACCTATTTATGGTTTCAAGATTCCATCTGTGGAGGTTTGAAATACGGACCAGAATGTTCTAAAAGCTGCAACTGTTTGGATGAGGATGAAGTTTGTTTTGTTGCCACTGGAGGATGTGCTTCAAGCTGTGCTGCTGGATTTCATGGAGAAGATTGTCAGACAGGTGAAGGGATTTGCCCTAGTTGTACAATATTGTTTGGTGATAAGAAAATTTGAGCACTATAACAAGCAATAAATTAAAAAAAAAACATTAAAGTGCAATACTTAAATACTGGTTTAAATAGTAAAAGTAGGGCAGATAAAGTAGAGTGATTTATTTCTGATACAATGTCAGATGAATAGATGTGGTGAGTCATATGCCCTGGTGCATTTGCTCTAATGTACATGAGTAGAGACTATTCTCTACTGGGTTGAAAACAGTGGCGTAGCTACCTTAAAGGTAGCGACAGCAAGGCATAGGGGCCCAAGGCACATAGGGCCCTTTTCACTTTTTAAAAAAAAACTAAAACTTCGAATTTTAGTATGGGTTTTATGTAAATAATGTCAAAAATAAAAATAATTCCTGTTTCTTTTCTAGTGTAGAAATAATTAGAAGTTCCAAACAAGCCCCCAGTTACCTCTTTACTGTAAAGGCATTAGCATTCAGTGTGTGGGTGGGGGTGGGGGGGGGGGGGCAAACAGGGCCCATATGGCGCTACTAATCCTATACATTTTTGGTTTTCATCCAATCGCGAAGAAAATTTTTTGGAAGTCGATAAAAATACTCCAGCCAATGTTTTTTTTTCCAGATATTTTTCTGAAAACGTGCCTAAAAGAAACTCTAGCATTGGGGAAACATTTCTAGTATTTAATTTTTTTTATGACGGCGCCCGGCAGCTAGGCGGTGCTGTTTCCCCTGGTGTCCGTTGATTCTTAGTCCGGCGCAGCGGTCAAATTTGCACAGCGTAACCCGATGCGCCTTGGGCTCACCGTGAGCTCCAAGGCGCCTATATTCGCTTTAATGAGCGCCATTCACTAAGAATATTGAGTGCTATTAAAATCGATAACTAAATCGAATAAGGGGTGTCGTCCAACGCATCAGTAGTAAAGGTTGGGCACCCCTAGATAGCAAGCGGCTACCTGAGTGCTAGAGATCCGCTGATTGCGCGTCATGCAAGGGTACTACTAATTACAAAAACAAACAGCAACAAGGTGCGGTCATAGGCGCCTCCGGCTTACGGATAACACCAAGCACAGGAGCCCCCTACGGTGGGCCTATACGTTCGATAATTAAACCGAACCATGGGTAGCATCCGGATAGTGTAACACGTCATTCACACGACACGCTTAGGAGGTCGCTGAAAGATGTTCATGTTCAACCTCGCTATCACGGAGAATGATTAACGTACACTCAATGTTTTCATACAACACGCGCAAGGGCGTCTGACCGGTAGTGTAGATGAACCCGCTCCCCAGTAACAAAGATCCGAAAAAAATGACCATAGCGTTGTTTACCCTTTAACTATCTCAATTTTAGAAAAAAGCTCACACGACTACAAATACACTATTGGTAACGCGTTGATGAAACCCTTACAAATTGTTTCATTACACTGGTATGTGGTACTATATTGCAGCAAAGCGGATGGGTGTGCTTTCTACATTCCAGTGAGATCAGGAAGGAGAATTTTGATGTGTCGGATGGAAAATTGTAATCTCATTATTTGTTGATTGTTATGCTGATAATTTAATATGAAAGAAATTGTAGATATGCCCATTGGGTCAATAACTTAGCCATCCTAAGTATATAACATACAGAAGCAGCTAAAATAGATATCAAAGAACTTATTATTTACTATTCACATTTATTATTCACATCTAAAAAAAATTGAAAAAAAAATAAAAATTTAATATTGACGTGGTGTGTCTCGAACATGGTAACTATCATCTCAATGTTTAGTTACTTCAACTTAGGTGCAGAATAAGTGAGGTAGTTTTCTTTGATTTAGGGTCAGCGTAAGAAACTTACGGAAATAGGCACTATTATTTCAAATGAAATTTTATCCCAAATTAGCCGATTCCATAGCTAAACAAAGATTTATATAAAATAATTAAAACCTGAAATAGTTTAGTATAGAAACTCATTATTGGCATAGATTCTAGATATAGATCTAGATAGAGCTAGAGTCTAGATCTAGAATCTATGGATGTGTTAAGTCTAGTTTTTCCTTAGCTCTAGATCTAGATCTAGAATCAAAATAGATCAAGTAAATTTTATAAGTTTAGGCCGACAACATTTTTTACATTTCATAGCGTTGGGCCTACGTGTTGATTAGTAGATCTAAATGAAATAGTTCATTTTTTTATATTCTAAAATTGGAAGATGAGGCCATTAATGTTGTGTTCTTTCCTTAGTTTAAACATGTGGCATGTGACGTCATTAATTATTTCGTTCTTGTCACGAAGATAAACACTTTAGTTAGAAATGTGTTTCTACATTCGAATATGCCTTTATTTTAATTTTTCCTTCTTTAAATAAAATTTAGTTTACATATTTATAACATCCACCATATCATTTATAACAAACGTCCGTATATTTAAGTTGTCAAAATATCGCTGAACATATTGATCACGTTGCCAAATAATATTTCGAACACAGAGAGAGAGAGAGAGAGAGACAGAGTGACAGGGAGAGACAGAGAGAAGTGCGCACATGGGCTTTTTATATATTACGATTTTTCAAAATTATAAGATTGAGAAGACCACAGATCTAAATAAATCACAAGCAGATGTTTATAAATGTATTAGTGGTCTCATAGGGGTCGGCGTGGTCGAGTCGGTAAAGCTCATGGTTGCTAAACCGAAAAGTCTCGAGTTCGAACCCTCCGGCAGATGAGGCTCGTTAGCTGGGGACAGCCACTCGTCTAGGAGAGACAACTCCAAAATTAAACAACTGCTGCCTTGTAGTTTGTTCTTGGTTGGACAAAGGCTATGGAAGCAAATCCAAAAAGAAAAGCAGGCTGAAATCGGAGTCAATGGCCTCAATGGCGCATAACCAGTTGACACGTAACGCTTAATTGTGTTGGAGGCGTGGTCGAGTCGGCAAAAAGCTCATGGTTGATAAATTCGAACAAAGTCTCGATTTCAAACCCACTGGCAGATAAATCTCGATCCCCTTCAGCACTAATAATTAAGAACGAAGAAGAAGAAGAGAAGTGGTCTCACAAGGTTGGGTGTTCCCCTACGCATTTGCCAATGATGTCACTTATCTTTTATTATTTTAGCTCGTTTTTTTAACTAAAATTCTTTAATGTTTCGTCATGATGTCACGCCTAAATGCGTACTGTCCTTCTGCCCCCGGCTTATGACCGTACTGTGTTTCGTTACTTGGAAAACAAAACCAAATTGACGGTAAGCCAGTAACATTTTTAGAAAACTACGGGATTGTAGGCCTACATAATAATATCGTATAAATAAACAATCAGGTTGCATACAATACAAAATGTTCATAAGATTTATATTATTTAAAACTTCATCGTTTGCTATTTTTGTTAGGTTCCAACACTATTATCAATGATCAACAGTTCTTCTAATTTGATCATACAATACATTTCTCTAGATTTACAGATAACCTGTCGCAGCAAGAAAAAGTCAAAGAAGAGCCTAGATCTCAAATCTAGGTCAAACCAAAATTAATTAGTTAAAAATAAAACCAATAATAAAACACAATAAATTAGTGAGTTTCTTTATTAAACTATGTTAGTCCTTAAATATTTGATATAAATCTTTGCTCATAAGCTTCAAGAATCATCTCATTCGAGAATACAAGGGATCAATCTATACTATCTAGATCTAAATTTAGAGCTACGGAAAAACTAGACTTACGTCAGCCGTAGATTCTAGATCTAGATCTAGTTCTATCTAGATTGGGATCTATGCCAATAATAACGAGCTTCTATAAACTATTTCAGGCCTTAATTATTTTGTATAAATCATTGTTTGTTTATCTATGGAATTGGCTAATGCGGGATATAATTTAATTAGAAATAATAGGGCCTATTCCCGTAACTAAATTTCATACGCAGACTCTAAGTAAACTATAGCCCTAATTTTGTACCACATCAGCAAAATCTAGATAGCTGAGACGTTAATATATTTTTTTTTAGATGTGAATGATAAAATTACCTATCGAGACTTCTCAGCATATGAATTGGTAGTGTGATAAGACCCAAGCTTAGCCGAAATCGCTGTTTTTAAAAGACAATAACATGTTGCCTGAGGCGTGATTTCTTTTTGAATGTGGGGTCTGACCTGTAGCGTACGCAGGGGGGGGGGGGGGGGGGGGGGGGGGGAGCAGGGGGAGCGGCCGCTCCCCCTCTGGCCATTTTCAGCAAAGTGGCGCCTTTTTGGAAACTTTTTAAACTCAAAGTTTTAAACAATAATATTTGTAAAAAAATATTTTTGGTCGGCACAACTATGTAAACCACAAGACTTCTTTTCATGCAGCAATTAAGCATTATTGTACTAGTCTAGTAGTGTCTATGTTTACAACACGTAGTAACAGCTGCATCAGTTTGCCTTTCTAAAAAAACCATTACGATGCATTGCAATGTTTAAAAAACCTCTACGGGTAGTACCACCTGGCAAGAGGGGTGTAAAGTTAAAGTCAACTGTATAATGTATTTGCTTACGAATAATTGAATTAGAAAATGTTATACATAAATGTTTCCCTTTCAAACCTGACGGTCTAAGGGGCAAGTGATGTAGAGTTCACTTGTTTCTGTGACCTCGGAGTATGAAGAGATAGTGTGGTCAGCACTATGCCCAGCCGCCTTTACTTTTCCTAACGTGAGTTAGGTACCCATCAGTTGGGTGGACTCAGAGGCGTCCGGGGACATACTTCCAATTTGGCGCCCCCTCGTGAGCAAATTTTCGATTTGCACCCCCCCCCCCCCCCCTCGAACTTTTCATTTGCACCCCCCCTCAAACTTTCAATTTGCACCCCCCCTCGAACTTTTCATTTGCACCCCCCCCTCAAACTTTCAATTTGGCGCCCCCCCCCCTAAAGTCGGCGCACGGGGACACCTCTATTTAAATTTACTTATGAGCAAACTGAGTAGTGGTGGGGAAATTTTGACAAGGCCAACAACGTCATCACGATGAAGTAGTAGTATTCTTACAGTTTGGGCGATAGAGATTACGATTACAAATTATATGAAACAGTTACAACCCCCCCCCCCCTCCCCTCCCCCATGGACCCCTCTGTAAAAAATATTGTCATAATACCACTGCTACTTATTTAAATCTATTTCTTTAATATATATTTGTGTAATATATATTTGTGTAATATATATGTATTTTTTGAACAGTCATCTAAAAATTTAAGCCATGTTCACTCTGAGTTGGTTATCTCCCTCCCTCCCCCCCCACACACACCTCACCACCACAATTGTGTAGAGCGACATTAATGTCACATCTAGGTATACACTGGGTTGGATAATTGACCTAAAGTGACCGGACAGTGGTGAATGAAGTTGAACCCCCCCCCCCCGAAGTTATCTGTTAAGTACATGTAGAAAAACGCGTAATGATGCACCAAAGTACCATGCCGCCAGAAAATTAGCTTTTTAAACGTAAAACTCTTGTGAATATTGTTTTTGCAATTACCAGTGAAAAGGTGTGTGATCAATACAGTGATCTAACCCATACCTATCACTATGTTAAAAAATGATCTTTATAGAACAAAAAGAAGCAGTAGTTAGTTAAAAATATATGATCTGAACTAAAAGAGCGATATGTAGGCTGTTATTCCGAATGTTTTTCCATTGTATCGAAAAACGTGGTTTTATACCAACTCTGATTTTAAAAACTTTCATTATGCTGTAATACTTTAGCATTTATGACGACGATATATTGAAGTCTGATTATAGACAAAAACATTTGGTAAGCACGAATGGTGTTAAACAATTTTATTATATTCTAAAGTAATTATTTATTTGTTATGACATTTATAATTAAATGTGTAGATATATACATATTTATATTAAGAGAGTAACTATTTGCCGTATTTCACTTGTCTTAAATAATTTCCCAGGAATTATTATGTAATAATTTTTTAAACAAGAACCACAAATCAGATTGTGTTACGTTCATTGTTTTTGGTTGTAGTGTGTGTATATTTTTTTTTTGTTTAGATTGATACAATTTTTGTTTTGTCGGCCTACATTGTGTGTTTTTTCTTATTTCTTCAGAGTGCTACTTTCAATTTATTTTACATCATAGCGAAGTAAAGACATACAGCTAATAATTATATATATATATATATATATATATATATATATATATATATATATATATATATATATATAATACACGTATATAGAACGTGTTAAAAATTCGGCGCCTTTTTTTGCTCTTTTCGCTCCCCCTACAACGAAAACCTGGATACGCCTCTGGGTCTGACTATTTACGACGATGTGTGACAGTGGGAATGGAAGTGGAAAGAAAAATCGTCAAACAAGCGTGACGTCAATTATGGATATTATAACGAATATAATTTTGTGTGGTTAAACAATAAATTAATTATCACTCTGATTATGTCATTAGTATGATTGTTTTCAGAATGTCCTCAAGGCAAATGGGGTAAATATTGCCAAAATAACTGCAGTCAAAGTTGTTTGGACCCGTTACGTTGTGATGTCACAAGCGGTTATTGTTCGGAAGGGTGTGTTACAGGTTATATACAGCCAAAATGTGAACAAGGTAGGTGGACGAGTCTTTTATGTGCTTGTTATTGTTTATACACTTACATGTTATACTATATGTTCTTCTATTGGGTGCCGTGGGCTTCATTTTAAAACCTTGTAAAATACGAAGTCAAAAAAACTTAAGTTATATTGTCACAGGTGTTAAGTACAATATAAAACAAAACTTACTATTTAATTCCTTGACACGACGGAAAAATATTATTTTTAATTAATTTAGCCTGTGGTTTTGGAACATGGGGAATAAACTGCTCCATGTCCTGTAGTTCACATTGTGGGGGAGATAAATCTTGTGACCCAGTAAATGGTACATGCAACAGTGGTTGTGGTGATGGGTATACCAGAACACAGTGTGATCAAGGTAACGTTTACTCTATTATAAATCTAAATACCTTAAGAAAGCAAAAAGTGCAATTGCTTTAAAAAAGAATTATCATTCTGTCTATAAATTGTTTTTGTTTTTAGAATGTGTAGCAGGAAGCTGGGGTAAACATTGCCAGAACAACTGCAGTAGACATTGTATAGACATTTCACATTGTGATGTTGTACGCGGTACATGTACTGGTGGATGTGTTGCTGGTTATATACAGCCAACATGTGAACAAGGTCAGCTGTTGAGCTGTTTATTTAAAAGTCATTTTTGCCTAAATTATATAAAGTATTTGTAAATGGATCATATACTTTAACTTTTGAATAATCCGTTTTTAATATGTAATACTTGAAACATACTTACAAAATGTTAAAATGTCATCAAATACTGTTTTCAAATAGTCTGCAATGTAAACACTTGGGGAATGAACTGCTCCATGTCGTGCAGTTCAAGTTGTGGGGGAGATAAATCTTGTGACTCAGTATATGGTACATGCAACAGTGGTTGTGTTGATGGGTATACCGGAGCACGATGTGATCAGGGTAATACGTTTTTCTAGAGTGCTACAATAACCAAATATTTAACTGCTTCTGTGCAGTTTTTACTTTATGATAAGGAACATGATTTTTTGCAATAATGAGCTTGTATGTGTGTCTTTTCTGTCTATCTTATTCTACATAGTCTATATAATAATTTAAATAACTTTACAGTTTGTTCGTTTGAAGTATAACTGTGCGTCCTTAGGAATAATTTATTGATTTCGCAAAGTATGTTTTACAGATGTTAATTTTATCTGAACTTCTCGTGAGGCTATATATTATTAGACGTTTTGTCTCTTTGTGTATTTGACCTACTTAGGTATTACTTTTTTATTATTTAGTTTTACATTTATATAATCCACCTTGAATGGTCTGTGGTGCAATCGCCAGTAATTTTCCATCACGCTATGTGGTGAAATTCAGCAATAATTTCGATTGGTTGATTCGTACTTTGGCGACTTCCTACCCAATAGCCTTATGACTTTGAAGGTGACCTCCCATAAATCTGGGGTGGCATAAAGACCAGGAACGGTCTGCTCTCCAGGCAGTTGACCAGACATACCGAGAGAGAATGCCATGTACGACGCCATATTGTATTCTATAGTTTAAAGCAGCATTTTTCCCCTATTACTTGTGATTTAAGTATCATTCTGTGCCTTAATTTAGTTTCATATAAGCTGTGTTGATTACCTAGGTGCCATAACCTGCGTTAATAGTTACCTAGTGTTTTTTCTTCAATTCGTAAGTTAGGTTTTGCTTTATTTGTTTATTTATAATATTTTGTATAGAACTAGCGTCATATTTTGGACTTGTACACATTTTAAAAGATTGTAAATGGATTAAAAGTGTTATTAGTTACAAGAGTTCTTCGTGTTTTTCCCCTAGACGAGTTCTCGGAGAGTTTTTGTGTCTGGTACTCTTTTAGCTTTGTATGTCATCTGTTTATAACCATCCAAAAGAATTTAGTACGTGCGTTAGCTTTACCAGTGGTAGAGTAGCGCCGTAATAGTGTACCTTTTTAAAAAATAAGTTTAATTCTGCTTGAGTATAAGGATATTTCTCCTAGGGCGGTTCTGGATAATGGTCATTAGCCTGTTGTAGAATTTGTCTTTGTCCTCTTCTTTGCTGTTATTTTTTTTTGGGGTGTAGGCCTGTATTATGTCATGTTTATTCGTCTTATTTTATTTTTAAAGGTTGCTGTTATGATCCGCGGACAGTGTGCCTCCCATTTAACTAGAGACATTTGTGCTTGGTTTGATAGCATGAGTGCAACTCCTTTAGTATGTGGTACGTTTTCATCCTTATGTCCTGAGAACAGCAGTAGCTCTCCTGTTATCAGCCTTTTTGTCCTGAGCCATTCCACCTTGACTCGCTGACACCCAGGATAACTATCTTATAGCGTCTCATTTCTGCTGCTATTTGGGTTGCTTTTCCGGGTTGATAAATTGTGCGGACATTCCAAGCTCCAATATTGATGGTGGACTTGGTGGAAATAATGGTGGTCGACCTGGTAGTTTCCAATTCATATTGGCTTTCACCACCCGGCTTCATAAATTCTCCATCGGGAGATCCATTCTTACCCTGGACCGAGCTGTCTGCATTTCTCTTTGTCTGCTTTTCTGTAGCGAGTAATTAGTTTTACGATATAAGGTTGCTGACCTTATGTTTAACCCCCAACCTGGCGGACCAGGGTGCAAGCTTTCGTCCGACCACTACCCAGACATTCCCGGTTTGGTTGAAAATTGCCACGAGTTAAAACTCCCGCTGGATTAGCTCTGTTGGGTCGTCGGGGTACATAAGCTAAGAGTTTCTTCCAGGCATCTCTTCGGGGGGGGGGGGGGGGGGCTAAGCCCCCCCCCCCCCCCGAAAAAATTTACCGCCCCCCCCCCCCCCCGAACGAAATAATATTTGTATAATTTATATAGAAAATGTATACTTTTAACAGTGTCCGCCCCCCGAAGAAAGTCTACCGCCCCCCGAAAATTCCAAGTGCCCCCCCCCCCCCCGGATAAAAAAGTCTGGAAGAAACACTACATAAGCTGCCAAGCCACAATAAGGCCCTAGCACCAGATGACAGATTTTATATATAAGCATTATAACAAATTAGTAGTTCTGTGTCAACTTTTCAGGGATGTCAAATAACCAGAAATGGAATCTATTTTATTCTAATTTCGAATTTTTAAAATCCTATAACTTAAATACTGTTTCTGATAGATATATGAAATTTACATATAATTAAAAGATCTAATTGCCTATTTTCTCGGAAATTTACAGTAAGTTTAGGTGACTGGAAGTAATACTTTAAGCTCTTTCCGATTTCTAAAAAAACGCATATGAATTTTTTAAGTACTAACGTTAAGCACTACTATACACGCCTTGTTTGCTGCTCACTTTGAGCGCAATTCTTTTTTCTACAAGAATCTATTCTTCTTTTAGAACTTAAAGTATTTTAAAGTTATTATAAATCACAACTATATCCCGAGTTGCCATCCCCATATTATTAGATAAGAATATTCGAGAAAGTATTTAAAATGATTTTATAAATCAAAACTATATCCGGAGTCGCAATATCCGTAGTGTTAGATAGGAATACTACGGAAAGTTTAGGGGAGATCACTTCCGCTTTATTTTTTTTAGTAATTCAAAATTCTTAATACTGTAGAGTTGCATGACTATAAACTATTTCGAACAAAATAAACATGATACTGCGCCTAAACTGTACGGACTATTAGTAGGGTATTCTACTAATTTCAGAAAATTTTAATTAATTTATAAGAAACAAATTAATCTTCATATTAAGTCAAATATGGTGTAAGATTGTATTATCATCGTGTCTTGACACACTAGCCAAGTTTGAAAAGAATCGGTCAATTAGAATGGCTAGAACATTCGCTCGCCTGTTTCGATCCAAGACGACATGAGGACAGACAAAGGAAGTGAATTAAATAAAAGCTTATAAAAATAAAATTTTACAGTGTTTACACGTGCTAAACTTAAATTTAATGTTTGCAAAATAAATCGTGTTTTGTTATTTATTTTGCAATTTTTTTAGAATGTGCTTTTGGAAAATGGGGTACAAACTGCCAGAATGAGTGTAGCGAACATTGTCTAGAGCCCTCACGTTGTACTGCTAAAAACGGGGCGTGTATGGGTGGATGTAATGCTGGTTATATTCAGCCGACATGTGGACAAGGTAAGTGGCGGAGCTATTTATGTGCTAGTTTTTGTTTATACACTTACATGTAATACCATATTGTTTTAATCTGGTGATACATTGACACAAAGAAACTTTGTTTTTTTAAATCATCCCAGCCTGTGGTTTTGGAACATGGGGAATAAACTGCTCAATGTCGTGTAGTTCACATTGTAGGGGAGATAAATCTTGTGACCCAGTAAATGGTACATGCAACAGTGGTTGTGTTGATGGGTATACTGGAGCACAGTGTGATCAAGGTAACGTTTGCTCTATTGCAAAATCTAGAACATGTGCTTGTACCATAACAAAGATAGATATGAAGTTGCTTATTAAGAGCAAAATTTATAATCATTCTGTTTTTATATAATTTGTATAATTGCTTTTTACTTTCTCGTATATACGAAAATATACAGAAAGTCTTGTAATTGTGCAAAAAAAAAAAATCAAGATTTTTGCAAATCTCGACGTTTTACAGCTCATGGAGTATGTCTGTGTGTGTATGTGTGTGTATGTGTGTAAACACGATAACTTGAGTACCGTTAGAGCTTGGTTGATGACATTTTATATATAAGTAATCGTAGATCCGTATAACCTTTTGAAAGATTTCCGATAACCGGAAGTGGAACTTTTTCTACTTTCATTTTTTTTCAAAAGCCTATAACTTGAGAACTGTTTCAGATAGATAAATGAAATTTCACATGTAAGTAAAAACAAGTTAATTAAAAAAGTCTAGTGACATTTATGCGCAATTTCCTTATGTTATCTAAAAATAGCTCTGACGTATAATGCTGGGGTGCGTTCAAGCTAAAAGAACGATCGGTTTGTAGGTGTTTATGTAATTTTAAAATTTGTGACCGAACGAGAGGATATTTTTGAAAACTTTCTTCGGCAATATTGTTCTAAATTATGGCAGGAATCGATTGGTACATGTTTCAAGTCGCTAAGTCGTCGTCTGGTTGCCGAGATATGGGCAAAAAACTGCATTTTTTGGAGGTTTTTTGGCTTTTCCTGGAAATCCATGAAAGAAACCCGGAATTTTTATAGCCTATGTCCATTCTCGTAACTTGCTTAACAAAATTGCTTTTGGAACTAGTCATCGATATTGCTTTGTTGAGGAGGAGATACGACTTAAAGCCCGGACACACATTCATACATCCATACATTCATTCATTCATCCATCCATTCCCAGAAATGACGAGTTAATAAACGCAATTCTCCAGAATGGAAATTGCGCTAAAAAATTAATTATACGCCTACTTTAAAATTTTGATGAATTTTTGTTGACCGGAATAATAGTACTAATAATATTCCGCACTATTATGCACATTTTATTTGGCGTACACTTGGTGTGCAATTATTTTTTCTACGAGAAAACAGTGGCAACTATTAAATAAATTTAGTCGTATATAAACTAACCATACTCTATTACATGTAATTTGACACTGCGATGCAAGTAAAAAGCACGACATTTGATGAGTTTACTTTTATGTTTCCAAAATCTATAGCGATGACGGAAGGAAAAACTGACACACTGCCAGCCCGCTTATATTATAGATATTCGAGAAAGTTTAGGGGAGATTACTCTCGGTTTATTTAAAAGACTTAAACATTTTGTAATGATTATGTAGATTCTGAAACACATTTCAAGCCAATTATGTTAGTAGAGATGATTGGTCTCTATATTTGAAAACAGCTTGTCAACATTTAGAAGTAATGCTTAAACAAATTGTTGTTTTACGATTACAAATATTGTTTTATTCTGCAGAGAAGTTTAAGAGCGATGAAAATACTGAATGGAGTGCTATTAGTATTGGTATAGGCATTGGCATAGGAGTTGTGGTCACATGTGTGATATTTTTACTTGCTGCAGCCGTTTTGTACCGTCGTGGCATGTTGTCTCTGAGAAGAAAGTTGAGTGAAAGTGAAGATAAAGCCGGAACGGAAACAGAAATAAATTATCTATCAGGTAAAACACACAAACACACTTACTCACACATGCGCAGACGCTCATACACACGCGCATAATACTTGTTTTATTTTTTTGCAGAAACAATTAAAATACACACAATTTTAAAAATATACATGTGCATTTTACATTTTGATAATTTTAAACACTGAATGCAGACATCAAACAACGGTACACAAGGGTTAATCGCATTAATACTACTCGTTAAATATTTCTTGCTAATAAATAGCTTTTGTAAATTTGCGAACGGAAGTCTGCAGTGTTGTTCATATATTCAAGAAAACTATTTGAATCGTTTAAAAATGTAACAATATTTAATATTTCCATTAAGTTAAAGGCAGTTCAATTCGTACTTTAAAGAAGGAATTTATGAAATTGACAAAGCAATTACAATTTCAGATGGCAACAACACGTACAATGAAGTGGAGGATAACAAAGCTTCTGATAATCTGCAACCATATGACGCTATCAATCTAGGCGATATAGGGATAGAAACATCAGATTATTCAAACTTCAAAGTAGTGGCGTAGCTATCGTAAAGCTAGCGTAAGCAAAGCATAGGGGCCCAAGGCAGATAGGAGCCCTTTTCCGTCTTCAAATTTAAAAAAAAACTTTTACATTGGAATTTTAATATTGTATTATAAAAAAAAATGTAAAAAGAAAACGGAAATCCCGTTTCTTTTCTACTGTAGACGTAATAAAAAATTAAAAAGGCCCACAAACATTTCTTACTTGGGAGGGGGGGTTATCTAATTTATCTCTAATCAATATGCTGCTACTTAAAGATTTAAGTAAAAAGAGACCAAAACATAAGAATTCACCTAAGCCTAAAACTTAAACAAAAACCAACACCAACTCTAGACATTGGTTAAAGCCTAACCTTCACCATAAAACTAACCCTAATCCAGTGGCGTAGCGAGGTCGGGTGTCACCCGGTGCGGCACTTAATGGTGACACCCCCCAGAGGCGTTGCGACCCTTCCCGGGGACAAAATTTCAAGTTTTCGATTTGCACCCCCCCATCTCAAGCTTTCGATTTGCACCCCCCATTCAAGTTTTTGATTTGCACCCCCCCCCTCAAACTTTTGATTTGCGCCCCCCCCCCCCCTCAAGTTTTTCTCTATATATTTTGCTATTTTTTGCCTTGGTGTCACCCCCCTAAATGGTGTCACCCGGTGCGGTCCGCACCCCCCCCCCCCCACCCCCACCCTCGCTACGCCCCTGCCCTAATCCACACCTTAACCCTGACCTAACCCTGGCCTTAACCCTAACCCTTGCCTAGCCCAATCTGTATCTTAAGCTATGTCCGGGGGGGGGGGGAGGTAATGTTCTACTGGGTGAAAGGGTGCTGGGGGAATTGATAAGGGTGTAATTATTCCGGTGGGTAATATCGGGGGAGGATGTCCGGTGGGTAATGCCCTGTTCCCGCACTACACATACAGTTATTTTGTAAGGGCATTAACGTTTTTAAAAATGCTCCTAATATATATGTGTTATGGTTAGATTGTTCTTTAAATAAATTAAAAATACGTCAAAAGTTTTATGCGGTTATTATTTTTCATAACTTTAAAACAATCATCAACAACTTATTAAATCAAATGTAAAATTAATAAATACCTTTTGATCTCTTTTGTGTACTTAGTCTAGTGCCATTTATTGTCCTAAAACAGTCATCAGCATAGTGGAGATTGTGAATGTTTTAACTACCTCTCTTTTAGTTGACTTGTATTTTTAAAGGGCAGATAATTATCCATTTAAATAAGTCTAAGTAAGGATAGTCGTTGTAGATTCTTTGTAATTCTCCGATGTAGAGGTTTGTTTTGAAAACTTACACTTTTACTCTGGTCATTACTTTGGTTAAACAACATTCAAGTTCATCTAATTCAGAAGCTTGTTTCTATAAACGTTTCCATATGTGTAATTAAATACTGCATGTACCTGTCTGACAGCCTAATAGACTCACGCAACATGCTTTACCTAATAAGCTTCTAAATAAGTTCGAACAAGTCCCAAAGAATACATAGCATTGTTTCTTTGTGTATTATAGTTTATAATTCTAAAATTGTTTACATTCTTTTTACATTTGAGAGATGTGTTTATGCATTATGTTGTAGTGTTCATTTAAAAAAAATAAACATTTTGCTTATTCTCTGCAATTTCGAAATATTTTAAAACAAAATATAAAGCTTAAAAAATAGTAGCAATCTCGTGTAATTGAATTCTTTTAATTATCAAAGTTTATTATGCAAATTCAATAAGTCCTTCTACTTAGTAATTTGTAACAACATTGTTTTGGTTTACAGCACTGAATCGAGGAAGAATTATTACCTTTGTTTTTACGTCGAGCTATTATCAATAGGCCTATAACAGCACACACAATAGACATAACAGTAACAGCAGAAATCACATAAATCCATTTGATTGATACCAGTTCATCGCTCCCTAGAATAAGCCATATAAAGATATGTTTAGTTTAGTTAAAGCAAATTAGAGCTTTTCTTTCAAATAGTTAAAACATGATGGAAACATCATTAACAAAAGAAACTAAAATATACATAAAATATCCTTTATCAATTTGTCAAAAGAGGATTTACCTTTTTTAATTTTATTTTATATGATAGAACTGGCGAGAATAGAAAATGGTACTTCTAGTATTTTTGTTACTTTTAATTTTTTTTACTTTCTTGTATACTGAGTATAGGGGACATATTGTAAAAAGACATTTTAAGCCATGATGTATCGGTGGCGGAACTAGAAAAAAAAGGGCCGTCCCGCAGAAATTTTTTGTAGGTCCCCCTATATATATATATATATATATATATATATATATATATATATATATATATATATATATATATATATATATATATATATATATTATTATATATATATATAAAAACTCAAAATACGAACATACGAACATTGCTGGCCTGTTCGGGATTTTGAAAATGATTTTTTTCAATTAAAACAGATTACTACATCATGTAATGTGTGTAAGTGAATTAGTATGTTTAGTGAAAGTCAGTTTTAATTATTTCTGTTATAAGCCCTCTTAACATCTAGTAGGTCAAAAGAATATAAATCATGAAAGCTTTGTATAAGTAATGGTGTCTAGTGTTATGTTTATTTCTATGGTTTTATTTGTATTTATATTATTAATTTTAAATACATTTCCTTTTTATACAATGTCATTCTTTAGTAAGTACTTTATAAAAAAAAAATTAAGAGAAGTAACTGCTTTTTAATTTGTTTAGTATAAAAATCTATTAAAAGGAGCTTATGAGCACAACTATTTGACTATTTAAAAAGGGAAATAAGTCATGGAAGTGGTTTGAATGTTTGCTTATCTTTGCTAAGTTTAATTTTAGGAGAAAGTTGACTCGACTTTCACAGTGGTTTAAAAACAAAGGGAAAAACAATATACAAAAGCGTGGGGTGGTGTCTATAGAATAAAGATAATCCTGGGGGCACTGTAGTTCCGCCCCTGCAAGATGACAAGGCCCGCGTTCCGCTTGGGTTGACAGCAGATAAAAAAAACAGAGTCCATTGTTCATGCACATGACTGGGTTGTGGCTGCTGGACATAAGCTGATCCCTTCAGTTTATGCAGGGATAAAAATTCAGCCCAACGCCTTGGACATCGAGAAGCTGTTGGATACTCCGGCCCAACATACATATCAATCAGATCTGGTATAACATTCCTCATCCACAGCGCTTAGTCATGGACTTGATTTTTGAAAAACTACTTACTTTACATGAATTTGATGATATAACAAAGAGCGGCGTGGATCAAATTGTTAAACCAATATTAGTGTTGACGGTTGATGGTGGCCCAGACGAAAATCCTAGGTATCAAAAGGTGATCAAAGTTGCGGTACACCACTTTCTCAATCAGAACTATGATGGTTTGTTCATTGCTACAAATGCACCGGGAAGAAGTGCATTTAATAGGGTTGAAAGAAAAATGGCGCCACTTAGCAATGAGCTCATAGGATTAGTTTTACCCCATGACGACAATAGACAGAGATTTAGAGAAGAAGAATTTTCAGTTTGCAGGAAACACTTTGGCAGAAATATGGTCACACTTGACAGTGGATACATTTCCTACAGTGGCATCATACATATATCCAGAAGAATCTGAACTCCTTGAAACTTCTCTGTTCTCAAAAGATCAGCGTTGGCACGATATGCATGTGAGAACTAGCCAGTATTTGACTCAGATTGTTAAATGCATGGATGGTAAATGTTGCTCAAAGCCAAGAAGCTCGTATTTCAGCTTAATAACTGATAGATTTCTTCCTCCACCTTTACCAGTCGCCCAAACAATCTGTGGACTAACAATACCTGAGCATTCAACAGATGGCTCTTCACATAAATTTCCATCTCTTTTTGTTGTTCAAAGTATAAAAATGGATGAAATCCTTCCCCGCTCTTCAAATCCTTATCGCACAATCCTTTATGATTTGTATTGTCCGTCTGTGCAATCCGTGATCATCGAAAGGGTTTGTCGTCCCTGTGTATTCAATGAAGGAATATTTTAATTCTCCATGGGAGAATGAATAAGCTTAAATATCACAACTTTTAATTTCGGATTGCCATATCAATACTGTTGTAAGTAGTTTTTTTTAATACTTCTGTTAACCCATATTCTGCTAGCGTCCCACTTATGGGACGCTTGTAAAAAAATTGCTAGAATTTATTAAAAACTAGTTAAAACACAAATTATGTTTCATTGTATTTGAAAATGGCTAGACTATTGAATTTGTGTGTTTTTTGTGAAAAAAATTAATTTAGAAAAATGTTATAGTGCCGGATTTGCAGGACTTGTCAAAATGTCGGAAAAAAGAAAACATGCGCACAGGAAAATGCATATCTTCTAAAATATTAACATTTTAAGTGCAAAATACATTTGAAACTTGTTGCAGTACCATATTTCTATCTGATAAAAATTTAAGAATAACAATATTGTTTTACTACTTCGTTATATCAAGTGTACAACAAGCGTCTCATAAGTGGGACGCTAGCAACAAATGGCCCCATGTAGATTGTTACACAAACGTCACATTTATTGGACACTAGCGAGAAACACAGATGCAAATGTTTATGTTAAATGATTATTTATGGTGAAACAATTGTTGACTTTGTTAACTGCTTACTGGGGGGTGTTAAGTAGTATTTATAGATATTTAATTATGACCTTGACCTATATTTATGCAGATTGTTACACAAACGTCACATTTATTGGACATTTAATTATGACCTTGAGCTATATTTGCTTATATATTATTGTATTAAAAAATTGCAAATATTGAAAAACTTACATTTTATTTTTAAGTTTTCAGAATTACACTTACTGAAGTATTTAATACCACTGAATACAAACTAATTTACTATTGCTGTAAATTTACTAGCGCGTGATATTAAAATTATAACAAACCAGAATAATTACAAGGGCCACGTGCCAAGTCTAAACGAATCAGAGAAACATCATAGCGTACCAAGTCTAAACAAACCAGAGAAACATCATAGCGTACCAAGTCTAAACAAACCAGAGCAAGATCATAGCGTGCCAAGTCTAAACAAACCAGAGCAAGATCATAGCGTACCAAGTCTAAACAAACCAGAGAAAGATCATAGCGTGCCAAGTCTAAACGAATCAGAGAAACATCATAGCGTACCAAGTCTAAACAAACCAGAGAAACATCATAGCGTACCAAGTCTAAACAAACCAGAGCAAGATCATAGCGTGCCAAGTCTAAATAAACCAGAGCAAGATCATAGCGTACCAAGTCTAAACAAACCAGAGAAACATCATAGCGTACCAAGTCTAAACAAACCAGAGAAAGATCATAGCGTGCCAAGTCTAAACGAATCAGAGAAACATCATAGCGTACCAAGTCTAAACAAACCAGAGAAACATCATAGCGTACCTACATTTACATTAAGTATTTAAAAAAAATTAATCCTTTCAGCTTTAACATTACCTCACTGTATTACTGTTTACCTGCTGGTGCCACGAATGGGTCCTGCGCGCTCATTTTTAATGCTGTGTCAACGAGCGGTAATTTTAAAGGGATGAAAACACAGCAAATTTAAAACATAGGATAAATTGTAAATTAGGGGGGGGGGGGTGGAGTGTGACGTCATTTTAGGGGGGGGGTCTGAATTTTTGTGACGATGTGTGACGTAGGGGGGAGGGGGTAAAAAATGGCCAAAAAAGCGTGACTTCATTTATGGACGACCCCTAAGCAAATACATTATACAGTTGCCTTAAACTTAACACCCCTCTTGCCAAGTGGAACTACCGGTAGATGTTTTTTAAACATTGCAATGCATCGTAATGGTTATTTTTAGAATGACAAAACTGATACAGCTGCTAATACGTCTTGTAAACGTTGACTCTACTAGTCTATTACTGTTATAATTAATTGCTGCATGAAATAAATCTTGTGATTTGCATAGATGTGCCGACCAAAGATAATTTTTTAACAAATATCAATGTTTAAAACTTTGAGTTTAAACAGTTTCCAAAAAGGCGCCACTTTGCTAAAAAATTGCCCCCCCCCCACCCCTGCATACGATACTGTTGTCGGTCTTTCAATTGTACACGGAACTATATAATGGACTTCCCTGAATTCGAATTACTGAATATGTTATGTTTCTCAGCCCAATAAAGTAGGTTAGCTTAAACTCTAACATTATTTATTTTCGTTAAACAGATGAGTTACATTAACAACTAATTTCTCGATTACCTCCGTTAAAACTGCTATTTGTGTTATTCATTATATCACACGACACTACTGATAAAAGTGTTGGTTTCGTACCACAACAAGGATGTATAAAACTGCGATAGATGCAGAACAAATCCATCAATCCTGTTTGTAAACTAGCGGTGTCTAGGTTTTATATTGGACATTTTTGTAGAAATAAGCGATTGGTTGAGGTTTATATACCTGTTTTAGTTTTAATTAAGATGTGTAGGGGCATTGAGGTGATGTGAAATGTATGAAATGAGTGTATACGGAACTGTGTGTGATGCGTGTATACCATTGGTATTGTGTTGTGGGACTGTGTCGAATCCGGGTTTGTTGATGTGTCAAGTATTTTGGTGTACTGAGTGAACGATTGTAAGAAGGGCAGCGACTGGTCGAAGGGCAGCGTGTGTTTTGTGAGCGGGAATAAGGGAGAGGTGTGTAACGGTGGATGCGGGCGTCAGTCAGAGGTTGATATTAGAAAAAGGAAGTATGGAGGTTGAGATTAGAATAAGGAAGTATGGTGTTAATGCTGTCAATGTGAACTGAGAAATATTTGAGATAAAACCCACTTGATTCATCCTAACCTCGGCAACTTGTGTCTGCATGAACTACATCCTCACAAGCCTACACCGATATTTATACACCTCTCTATAAATACATAAATCTATATTATAAAAATTACATTAACATTACATATTGACTTCCAGCATACATGTTACATCAGTGGGTCCCAAACTTTTTCGAGTGGCGACCCCCTTTTATAAAACGTAAGTGATCCGCGACCCCCACAGAATTAAAGAGTCGAAATTAGTAATATATAATTAATACGCGAGGGACGTAGTGGTCTAGCGGTAAAGAGCTGGACTGCTAACCCGTAAGTCTCGAGTTTGATTCCGGGTTTAAGAAAGTAGACAGTCCCTGAGTCCACCCAACTCTGATGGGTACATAACTCACGTTAGGGAAAGTAAAGGCGGCAGGGTATAGTGCTGACCACACTATCTCTTCATATGCCGAGGTCACAGTAACAAGTGAACTCTACTTTACTTGCCCCATAGACTGTCAGGTTTAAAAGGAAACTTTAATTAATATGCATTAAAGTATGATTTTCTAGTAGACTTTCAATAAGAATTTATAACTGTTTTAATAAGATGAGTGAAAGTGCATGCTATTATCAAGACTCAACATTTCCCGTTGAGTTTTTGTTAACGCCAACCTCGTGTTATTCTCGATATTTAATTTATTTCTTTGTTTTGTTTTCAATTGGGGAAGTTTTTAAAATCTATTCTCACGAAGATATGTAGACATAAAAGGAACTAAAACTCAAAAGGCAATCAATTTCACGTTGGGGTATGAATGGCGTATATTACACTAATATTGTGTGTAACACGGTACGTAACGCGGATTCCGTTCGCAAATCCAACATGTTATCTTTCAATTCATCACGATTATCATGAAAAGAGATAATATTTGTTTATGTTCCCCGAAGTTTCAGGTTAAGCTTATGTTGATGTTCGAATATATCTTCTTGGTGTGATACTCTCCCAAACCACTCATTGTCGTCAAAGCATATCAAAAGGTCTTGTTTCCCTTGCAATTCCAAGTACATCTTGATTTCATCTTTCAATTAAAAAACACGATTCACAACATTTCTTTTTGGCAGCCAGAGTGCTGTTGCGTAGAATAGCAGAACCTCGTGATCGTTATTCGTGTTTTTGCACAGTTCTTTAAACAGATAAGTGTTCAGGGCCCCAGTTTCAATATAACTTACGACTTTTATTAGCAATGGAGTCGGAAGAGTCTTGATGGCGATGGCATACCGGTGAATCATGCAATGGATTCCCCTTGGTTAGGAAGCTAAATCTTTTACGTTTTTCTGAAAGCCTTATTTTGACCCAAACATAGATGACGCACCATCCGTAAAAGCACCACAGCCGTTTTTCCATTTTATTCCTCCAGTTTCAAAAACGTATTTCTCTTCTCCATTATATCTTCGCAAAACAGCAACTCTTCTTTGCTAACATCTGAATTTCACAAAGACAAGCAACTACGAACTCGAACTCACATCTGTTGATTCATTTACTTGAAAAGCAAACAATGGTGAAAACTTGGTTTCATACAAAATTTGTTCTTTAACATCTACGGACAAGCCTGCTATAACCCGCTGAATATATGCAAGGTTTGGTGAGATTTTGTCCTACTGTGTGATAGGTTGTTTTTTTTTTTTTTTTTTTTTTTTTGCTTGACTAATTCTAATGCGACGTCATATGCACTAGCTCAGGGTCGGCAACCTGCCTCTCGCGAGCCGCATGCGGCTCTTTTGATGTCAAATTGCGGCTCTTCAGCTCAATGCACAAATATTAATAGATATTTTAATTTATTCATGAAACTCATAAATGTTTTAGTCTGCAACACTCGGTAATGAACAATATACTAATAAATATAAAAAATAAACATTCGCTACTCTATTAGAATATTTAGTTACTCCCAATTTCGATGTACATCCTTGTCTTCTAAAACTGAGTTATTTAAACAATTACTGCTTGGATAATATTTATCGGGGCACGGGTTTACCTACACTACAACCCGGTGTTGTATGAAAGCCTTAAGTGTAAGTTATTCACTCACCGTAATATACCAATTAATCAATCACCGCTTTAGTGTCGGGGACGGAGTGGCGCACTTTTGAAACCGATTGCACTATCGCAGGGGCATTGCGTACAGCTCCTAGCTCGGTTTAATGTCGTGTGCCGCATTAACAATATTTAAGGGCGCTCCTTAAAACTAACTTAGGCGAATAGTGCTTGCGAGATAGCCCTGGGCGCCAAATTGCACACTGCAGAGAAGCCGGAGGATGCGCCTGATTCGATTTAGTGAGCGACTATAGAAACCCATTGTATCCAAAGCATATCGCGGATGCCAAGTGCTAACATAGTCGCTCTGGAACTCTGAGCGCCAAACCGTGTATTGACGAAAATCGAACCCTTCCGGACGCTGCCCATAAGACATTTTTTTTCGCAGAAATCTTATCGGGAGTGTTCTTATCTACTCTCAAAAGTTTCACGACACTCGGATTAACGGTGTTTAACCTCATCCGACTTTTATTTTTTCTTATATACCGCACCCTCCCGGGAAGCCGCCCTTGCGAAATAAAATAAAGATTTTTTTTTTGCAGAAAACTCCCCTGGAGTGTTATAACCAACTTACCCAAAGTTTCATGGCGATCGGATAAGCGATGACAAACTGAAATCGACTTTAATTTTTATAAATCGAATCGCTCCCTGCCGGGGCGTCGCCGCTGCGAATTTGATATTTTATTTTCGCAGATATATCCCCAGGATTATTTTCAACAACTTTCTACAGCATCATGGCGATCGGATGAAAAACAGACACACACATACATTGATATATATATATATATATATATATATATATATATATATATATATATATATATATATATATATATATATATATATATATATATATATATATATATATAATCCTAATCAAAGATCATAATATTGAAATAAATAAGTTAGTGGCTCTTTGAAAGCTGGGAAATTTTGTAATTGGTAACTTTTGGCTCTTCCATCACAAAAGGTTGCCGACCCCTGAACTAGCTTCACGCCGACGAAAGAACTCCATATCTTTGTAGTTTAGGTGTGTTCTGAAAGACTCGTCTCAAAAAGACGTTTTAGGTTTGAAGGTTTTATAGACTTATGACTGAGAAAAAAATTGCACAGTACGCATTGTTTGTTCTATATTCCATCTCCAGTAATGTTAGTAAAGCTTAATTTCAGATATTCTTCCAAATATTTATGTTTTTTTTTTCAATGCTAGGGTTTAGTCTACCAGTTGACGACCTCCAGAAAGCCCTTCGCGACCCCCAAGGCGACCCCCAAGTTTGGGAACCCATGTGTTATATGGTAGTACTTGTAAGAAAAATGTAAATGTACAATTCTTATTCAGATATTGTTAACAAATATAAATTGTTATAATTGAAGTGGTTTCTATTTTAGTATTCATACGTCGATATGTATAAATAGTATTCATTTATTTTACTTCCTGCATGGCCTGTTATTTCAAGTTCCGTTAAAAGGTGGTGTACAATTATTACATTCACATGTTTAGGTTATAGATACAGATTTCTCCGAGAAAACCATCATTGTAATAGCAGATACTGTGCAGATAAAAATATCATGTATTTTCGAGTGTGCCTACCGATTCTGTTTTACTTTTTCTTATGTGTACTAACTGGTAAGTTAAGACATTTCATAATCATTACATCTGTAATAATCAAAAACGTATTTTTTTCACCAAAATGACTAGTTTTAATGCATTAAAGATGATTAATTATTGATTAGTAATTTCATTAATGTTAACTAATAGATTAATAAGGACTACATTAGATTAAACTCATTTTACGTAATTATAAAAAGGTTGTTTTTAATTCTAGAGATCTGATTACTACATAGAGGAAAAACGCTAATTTTCTGCTCTCAATTGTTTTGCAAAAAGTACAAAACAAAAATTAAATTGGCAGTAAAAAGTAAAAACGTAGGAGACCATAGGGTTAGGGATTCACCTGACACCTTTTAAGTAATGGGAGAGGGTTTGGGAATTGAGCCATTAACCCCAACATGTAGGGCAAAAAAACAGAGAGATTCGAGCATAGTATTCGAGCGTTATTGTTACTTGAACATTATTTTGGCGTGTTGAACTTTAATGTATGATTTTTTTGACAAGCTGAATGGGAATCAGAAGATTTAAACACCCGATCCTACAAATGCCATTGTCTGGACTGTACCACAAATAATTATTGTGCCAGCAACGCTACTTGTGTGACAGGATGGTTTGGGCCCGGCTGCCACTACCGTATGTTATAAATTGTAACTGTTTTTTTTTTTGTAAAAGCTATTTATAGACATAAGTATAAATTATTCATCCTTTGCTTCAAAAATAAATTATTTTTATTGCTATGGAACAGAACGTTTGTTTTAATTATATCAACAGAGGACCTGATTCATTCCCTTGAACTGCAAACTGATTCAGACAAAACAATATATCTGAGCGATGGCAACGACAGCACATGTGACATTGTAAAAAACGTAACTGTCACGTGGAACATGCCTTACTATCTGTCATGGTTAAGGGTTTCTTATGACGATAATGGTACTTTGATTTTTTAATAGCTTGCAAAAAATCAGTATTACTATTTGTTTTGCTGTTTGTATGAATGTATATATATATATATATATATATATATATATATATATATATATATATATATATATATATATATATATATATACTTAAACGAGTTAATTATATTTTGTCCTAGAAACTGTCGTAAATTCAATGTTGCTTGATGTAATGAATGGGAGCGATGGTGTAAACTGCTTGAGTAACAAAAGATACTGGTTTGACAAAAACAACAAAGACATAATGTGTGACTCAAACGGAACTGTTGACAAGATTGTGATCAAGTTTCCTAAGAAATTAAATATATGTTCTATTTATATTAGCGGAGGTAAAGGCGACTTTAAGTTTGTTAAGTATAGATCCTTAAGTTCTTTTCTCTCATTTAAGTAGCAATTAAACTGTATAATAAATTAAAATAAATGCTATTATGCCAGTTATATTATAATTTTAGGAAAATTAAAATCACAATAATCCTTATAATCAAAGTACGTGTTTCTTATAAAAGGAATAAACGTAGCTTATGGACAACAAACAAATCAATCAAGTACATATGATAAAGCCACATCGGATAAAGCAGTTGATGGTAACACAGACAGTGACTTTGACAAGGGCAGCTGTACTCACACTGATGATTCTCTAAATACCCCACAATGGTGGGCTGTAACATTTAACAGAACTGAATACGTCAACAGATATGTACTTTATAATAGAGGTCATAACCAAGGTAGTAATTTATTTTCTTTACATAAGTACTATTTAAATAATTATTTAGAAATTTAGTCGAGTACAATTTATTCTGTATTTGTTAAATTTAGGGAGACTGGGTAGTTTTAGACTTCATAGTGGTGCAGATATACAGATGTTTACTTACAATGATCCTGGAACAACACAAGATCAGTACACCATAATAACATTACCGACCCAAGTGTCGTATGTGAACATCTCAAAAGTTATTAAAACATCAAAAACCGAATACATTATACTGACTTTATGTGAGGTCGAGGTTTATGCTGGTAAGTATTTTATATGTTGTTTCTCCTTCAATAGCTTAATTTTTTCTGTCCTATGTCAGGAATCAAATTAAGTAATATGATGTTTCTTTTGCTAATAGTAAATTAACTAGACGTCTATAGGGCTGGTAAGTAGTTCACCAACCAACTCTACGGCTCAATAAAACCTGCATGAGCCATAGAACTGGTTAGTGACCTACTTACCAGCCAAATATTACGTTCTAAACAGAATAAATGTATATGTTCTGTCATAGAGCCCGTGTGTAGCAGCGGAATGCATGGTGTCATGTGTGAGAAAAAATGCAACTGTACTAATTCAGCTGACACGTGTTTTCCTGTTACCGGGAGGTGTAAATACAAATGCGCACCAGGATTCAGGGGGATAAATTGTAATCAATGTAGGTAACTTCTTAATGTTATCTAAAAGCATTTAGAATGACTTGTTTCCATTAGTTAAAACACGAAAAAATTACATTAAAATTAAATTCAATGTACACTCATGTCGGTTTAAACACTAATGCATGCAAGTTGCTTTTATATTATAGAAGTTATATTGTTTAAAATCGTATAAATATTTTGTTTGAAGTAGAGTCATTATGTGTGTTTACTTCTTTTGACTATGTTTACTTTGTGATTTTTGCTACATAATATAAATTAATTCAAAATGACGTATATAAAGAAACATGAACCCATGTAGTCAGTAGCGCTAAGCGGCAAGGGATGAAAGTAGAGACAGTACATGTCGACATTATCTAACGGGGGACACCAAGATAAACATTACTTTAATTTCTAATTTTGCACGAGTAATTTAACAGTTTACTAAAGTAACATAACCCTTTATGCAAGGGTGACACCTTGTGAGAAAGGAGTTGAAAGAGTATCAACTATAATCAATTAATGTTGAGTATCATTCGTATTTTTATTTTCTGCATAGCAATGTCCCACATAACTTCCTGCCATTGCCATATGTATGTTTATATCAAAATGAAAGTTTTGAAAATTACTATTTAATATTAGAAGTAGGCAAGGATAAAAAAGTTTGTAACTTCTAGCTTTTCCAGCAGGATGTTTGCATTCACCTTAACATAAGAAACGACAATCCGTGATGCGCATTCTGTATTCAGTTCATGTACCGTCGCCTGCTGAATTACAAAATTAAATAAACCGGGAGTGATCTCCCCTAAATTTATTCGACTATTCTTATATAAAACAACAGAGGATGGGAACTCGGGATATAGACATGATTTTTAAATATTTAAACTTTTTTAAAATAGAATAAAATCTCGTGGAAAAAAGAATAGCACACCAAGTGAATGCCAAATAAAATGTGCATAATAGTGCGCAATATTATTGGTACTTTATAAATTGACATTAGTTTTTTGAGAAATCGGAAATAGCGTAAATTACTACTTCCGGTCAACAGAAATTACTCAAAATTTGAAAGAAGGTAGAAGATTAGATCTTTTACTGACATGTGTAAGGTCATTTATCTATCTGAAATAGTACTCAAGTTATGGCTTTTGAAACATTCAAAGTAGAAAAAGTACCACTTCCGGTTATCGGAAATCGCTCAAAAGTTGATAGGGATCTATGATTTTGATAAAATACTTATATATGAAATTTCATCAACCTAGCTGTAACGGTACTCAAGTTATCGTGTTTACACACACATAAACACACAGACACACAGACATACGGACAAGATTGCAAAATTATGTTTTTCCGTATCAGTGAGGTGTAAAACGTCGAGATTTGCAAGGGATACTGAGTTGTTTTGGGACTAACAAATAAAAACTTGAAAAAATAAAAGTACATAACAATAAAATAGGGTTCTAGGCTATTATCTTATAATTTTCTTATGTTTACTATGTAAATTTAAGTGCTTGAAAATTGTACAAAAACTTTTGAAAAATTGTATTTTAGCTTGTTCACAGAGTTACTGGGGTGTTAACTGTGAAAACAGATGTCTTTATTGTGTGAACGGCAAGTGTGATTCTAGAACAGGACTGTGTGCTGAAGGTTGCTTAGGGTACAGCGATCCACGAAAATGTAGTAAAAGTACGTATTTTATTTATAACAATTGAATTATAGAACAATTTCTTGTAGGTTGTAGTATATAGAGGTTTAACCATCTACAAGTTGCAAATCTGCATGTTTAGCTTAGGTCAAGAGGCTATACATATTTTTATGACGTCAGAAATAAAAACAATACAAGTGAGCGAGTTAGAGAATGAAGCACACTTAAGAATTAACACAAACTTTTAATTGCTGAAGTTAGATTATTTTTTAAATGTGACACAACTAATCATTAATTATATTTATAGTTCTTTATACCAGGATGGTGTATATATAATATATATATATATATATATATATATATATATATATATATATATATATATATATATATATATATATATATATATATATATATAAAGATTAGCGAGTTATAACTATTTGAACCGACCGGCTACTATTTCAAGCGCTAAAAATCTATGCTTATAACGAACCACGCGTTTTCTGTCAGTATACTTTTGATCAGAAACGCAGTCGCACGCTGCAATCATACGATTTTACTCCACAGCAATCAAAGTATTTATATGTAAGGATGTTAGAAAAATTATGTTATTCTCTTCTATTATATTCTATTTAAAAAAAATAAACAAAGAGTAGTTGTTTTATATAGCCTAATTCCAGTTTGCTTTTCAAGAAACCAAAGTCATTTTTTTTTTTTTACATTTTTATTAGACTAACACAATGCTTTGATAATAGTCTAGGTCTAAATTCTAAAATATAGTCTTGATCTAGAGACCGATATAAAAATGATTATTCGAATCAAATTTCGACAAACTTGTACAATAAAAAAATATTATTTTAATTCATTACTAGTTTTAGATTGAGGGTTTTTCTTCGTGTTAAGAAACGATTTATATGATAGGTTACAAAATGTCTGGCCCAGGGGTGCAGTGTTTCTTCCAGACGTTTTTCTCCGGGGGTGGGGGCACTTGAAATTTTCGGGGGGGGGGGGCGGTAAACTTTCTTCGGGGGGGGGGGGGGACACACTGTTAAAAGTAGGCTATATATTTTCTATATAAATTATATAAATTTCATTTCGTTCGGTGGGGGGGGGGGGGGCACGCCGATTAGGGGCCCATAGCCGACCATAATAACTTTTTTATATTTGAAAAAAAATTTCTTGCATTTTTGACTTGACGGCAAAAGCTTCTGTAAATAACAAACAGATCTACTACAGTTGTGATGTTATACAGTAGTTAACACATGCTGTAAAAAAAAAAATATGCCTGAGCTGTAGTGTGAAAGATAGGCAAACGTTCAAAACACTTCCATGACTTATTTCCCTTTTCTAAATAGTTAAATAGGGGTGCTCATAAGCTCTTTTTAATAAATTATTATTTTTAAAAAATACAAACTAAAGACTGACATAGTATAAAAAGGAAATATATTTAAAACAAAATATATAAATACAAAAAAAAAACATAAAAATAAACATAACACGAGAAACCATTACACATACAAAGCTTTCACGTTTTATATTTTTTTGATAGGCTAAGGGTCGGCTGTATTACAGCAACCACATTGAATAAACTAGTTCTAAATCTAAAAAACCCCACATTCTAGACTACTGCACTCACACAAAATAATGGCATGATTTAATTTGTTTAAATTAAAAAAAAAAACATTTTCTTTTTAAAAGCTGATCAGGCCAGAAATGAGTATCCAATGTTTGTGTTCTGTGTTTATATATATATATATATATATATATATATATATATATATATATATATATATATATATATATATATATATATATATATATATATAGGAGGGGGCTCAGAATTTTTTTTTTGCGGCGTGGCCCTTTTTTTCTAGTTCCGCCACTGGTCTGGCCTACATGTTAAACGAGAAAATTAAACTACATTTAAATTTAAATGTGAAACACTAGCTTACTTAATATTTAGATGACGTTTCGGTTTGAGAAATAGCAAGCATGCTTTAACGGTTAACACATTAAAACTGTGGCTTAATAATTAGCAGTGTACAGTGATTAGTATTACATGTTTAGATTTCAGATCAAACTTGAAATTATTAAATCACATGATCTGAAATTGTATTTACAGAAGCTACCATAGAGGATAGGTAGAAGGCTCTTTAAACTTAGCTAGCAATCTAAAGCACAGACTAGCCTCTCTCAACTGACCACTCATACCACACACAGACTAGCCTCTCTCAACTGACCAGTCATACCACACACAGACTAGCCTCTCTCAACTGACCACTCATACCACACGCAGACTAGCCTCTCTCAACTGACCAGTCATACCACACACAGACTAGCCTCTCTCAACTGACCACTCATACCACACGCAGACTAGCCTCTCTCAACTGACCACTCATACCACACACAGACTAGCCTCTCTTAACTGACCACTCATTCCACACACAGACTAGCCTCTCTCAACTGACCACTCATACCATACACAGCCTAGCCTCTCTCAACTGACCACTCATTCCACACACAGACTAGCCTCTCTCAACTGACCACTCATACCATACACAGCCTAGCCTCTCTCAACAGACTAGTCTGGCCTTTCAAGAATTCAAGGTAACAGACACTGCAGTACAACCCTGATACTTAAAATTCAATTAGCAGATAGCTCGCGATTTCTTGGGTCGCAACATAATGATCCCATCCCTGGCCCTTGACCAAGTTTGCTAGAGCAGATGAAAGATAAAATTTGTCAAATATAAACACCTACAAGCACGTAAACTATTACTTCCTGCTGGCACACATCCTTTCTGTGCTCAGAGTTTCTTCCAGGCATCTCTTCGGGGGGGGGGGGGGGGGGGGGCTAAGCCCCCCGAAACTTTGGAACCGCCTCCCCCCCCCCCCCCCCCTCGAACGAAATGAAATTTATATAATTTACATAGAAAATATATACTTTTAACAGTGTGTCCCCCCCCCCGAAGAAAGTCTACCGCCCCCCCCCCCCGAAAATTTCAAGTACCCCCCCCCCCCGGAGAAAAAAGTCTGGAAGAAACACTGTCTGTGATACGTTGCCTCATTTTAAAGACATTTTAATAAATTGAATGTTTGTTTTTCATGTGATTTTTTAAATTTAACAATATATTTTTAAGAATTAAAAATATTTGCATTATGTTGCTTTTTTATACGCATTAATTTGATAAGTAAACCATTAGCAAATAGTAATTATTGATTGACATAAAGTTTATATTACTCTACAAACACATCAACCACCAGATATATATAAATCCTTTGTGATCATAGAAACCCGTAATAAAGATAGTTTCAAAGAATAAACTAAATCATCTCTTTTCGAAATAAACTAACCTCATCATGTACAATAAGCTCAAAAGATAAAAAATGAGTCCAAAATGTAAATTCTAGCTCATATCAGTTGTTAAGGATTTCTTAACAACATACAAATCACGAAATCACGTTCCTTGGACAAAACTCAATTCTCGGTTCAAAACGGTCAAGTCGGTGGGACAGAGATAGTCGATTTTGCGGTGAAACTTTTAGAATTAGCAAACCATCTAACTTTTTAAAACTGCTTTAAATTAATTATTTTAAACGTTAGAGTATAATAGGTAAAGAGTTTCTTCGCACAAATCATTAAAAATTATTATAATTCGTGCGATCGAGAATGAAATAATCAGTTTTTTGTAAGCCCTGTAAAATGTACATTTTCGGAGTTCGACGCTTTGCGACAGAGGCCTTTGATATATATATATATATATATATATATATATATATATATATATATATATATATATATATATATATATATATATAGGTGTGTGTGGGAACAGGGCATTTCCCCCCCTGTCAATGATATTTCCCCCCGACATTACCCCCAGAGTAATTACCCCCTGTCAATTACCCCCCTGTCAATTACTCTCCCCCCCCCCCCCGCCCAGTAGGACATTACCCCCCCCCCCCCCCCCCCGGATAGGGTTAGAGTTAGGGTTAGGGCTAGGTTTACTGTTAGGTTTAGGGCTAGGGATAGGGTTAGGGTTAGGGTTAGGTTAGGTTAGGGTTAGGGTTAGGGTTAGGGTTAGGGTTAGGGTTAGGGTTAGGGTTAGGGATAGGGTTAGGGTTAGGGTTAGGGTTAGGGTTAGGGTTAGGGCTAGGTTTAGGGTTAGGTTTAGGGCTAGGGATAGGGTTAGGGTTAGGGTTAGGGTTAGGGCTAGGGCTAGGGCCATGGCTAAGGCTAGGGTTGGGGTTAGGGTTAGGGTTAGTGTTAGGTTTTAGGTTTAGGTTTACGTTTAGGTTTAGGTTTAGGTTTAGGTTTAGGTTTAGATTTAGGTTTAGGTTTAGGTTTAGGTTTAGGTTTAGGTTTAGGTTTAGGTTTAGGTTTAGGTTTAGGTTTAGGTTTAGGTTTAGGTTTAGGTTTAGGTTTAGGTTTAGGTTTAGGTTTAGGTTTAGGTTTAGGTTTAGGTTTAGGTTTAGGTTTAGGTTTAGGTTTAGGTTTAGGTTTAGGTTTAGGTTTAGGTTTAGGTTTAGGTTTAGGTTTAGGTTTAGGTTTAGGGTTAGGGTTAGGGTTAGGGTAGGGTTAGGGTTAGGGCTAGGGTTAGGGTTAGAGCTAGTTTTAAGGTTAGGGTTGTGTCTTTCTTTGGTTTGTGTTTTGTGTGAAGTTTTAGGCTAAGGTGGATGCTTAGGTTTTTGTCTTTTTCTCAAGGTTTGGATTAAAGTAGTATATATGTATAAAATTCCAGTTAGAGTTAGGATTTTAACTCGAGAGGGGGGAGGGTAATTGACAGGGGGGTAATTGCTCCGGGGGGTAAATACGGGGGGGGGGAGGAAATATCCGGGGGGGGGATATCGAGGGGGGTAATGTCCTGTAGCCGGTGTGGGTGTGTGTGTGTGTGTGTAATAATTCGAACTTCAACTAAAATCATTTATAGGAACGCTACATAATTTGACGAAATTCCGTTTTAATTGCCACTCTACTTGATACAATTTATACCCAGGAAAGTAAATAATTCATATTGAACCCTGGTTGGTTGTACAGAAAAGCTAAAAGCCCTATCATGTTTACTAACTTGAAGAGTTTTTCTTGAGCCGGCTATGCCGGCATATAACTGACTATGAAATCCTCTTACCCGCAAATATAACATAACATATAATATAATTATATTACTAACCTCATTTGAAATTAGAAAAATTAATTTACCAAATACAAAATCAAGCACGACAGTATTCTTATTATTTCAGTATGTAAGATAAACAAGTATGGAAAGAACTGTAGCCGTAACTGCTCCACAAATTGCCTGGAACGTAAATGTAATCACACGAACGGCATCTGTTTCAAGTGTATAAGTGGTTTTCAAGGAGACTTCTGCAATCAAAGTATGTAAAAAAAACACTTAATTTTAGAGATGAAACAAATAAGAAAGCTGTATAACAGTAAGCTTTTAATTAATTGCACTGAAAATAAGAAAATAAAACTAACGTGCATTCCTAAATAAAAGTATTGGGGATTCCATAAGCGACCAATAAAAGACAGCAATTTAGTTTTATTTTCTTAATTTCAATGCAATTAAATGATAATTTATATTTTTTTATTTTTGTTTTTTTTTATTTGTTTTAGTAATCTTTCCGAATAAAGTTTACATTAAATAGAAAGTGAATAAAACTATGTGTATCTAAACTCAATCAGTAGCATCCATTCCATAAAGAACACTTACCTTCCTCTTCTTATTCCGTAGACCACAACAGGTTAACTAGACAGAAAGTTAATAATTCGTATCCCTTAAGAAAACAAATGAAATTAAAAATAACTTCAAGTCAAAAGCAGTTCATTTCAACTTTAAAGTCATATTTTATTCAAAACCAAATGAAAAGTCATGATTTTAAGGAGTAAATAATGAAAGGGAAGGCACAGTAATTAAGAAAAAAATTTATATAGTTCTTCTGGTGAGTATAATCGTTACTAAAGGGTATAAACAATCTCCTGTTTACTATAAATATGCATATACAATGACAAATTAATCAATTTCTTTTACAAATTAAACATTTAATCATTTCTTTACATTGCACGTAAAACAGTACCATCGCTGTCATTTGCTCTGTCTAACAGTGTCCTATTAAATAGTAGTTGGGTTTGTTTATATAAAGACATAAAGTTATTTTATAAATGCCACTGTTTTTACTCTTTTGCATAACGTCAAGAAAATGTTAAATACACGCACACTGCTAAAACATATTAAAAAGATTAATGTCAAATATTATTTTCGTTTAGATTCTTAGAAAAAGTGGATACATTTTAATAACATAATAACAGTAGGGTAGAAAAATTTAATTAATTAAACTCTTTTTTCTAATTTTGACAAGGGAGGTAATTTAAAAAAATTAACTCACGCTAAATAATTAAATTATTAAAATCTACGGAATGGCTAAAGTTAAATTAAATGTATGTGGTTTAATACATGTTGTACATCGGCAGACATCAGAGCGTTGCGCCATTTTTTAAAATGTTATATTGTTTGATAAGTAAAATTAAATTTTAGAGAGGTTTATGAGTTACGGTTTTGGTTGCTATATCAGCATAAAAAAACATCACAGATGCAGCCGTTTGGATAATACAGTGATGTACGAGTGGTGCTTGCGGGTTGATATGGCTAGGACAGGGGTCGGCAATCTGCGGCTCGCGAGCTGCATGCGGCTCTTTTGACGTCCAGATGCGGCTGTCTAGCTCCTTGCACACATATTAATAGTTATATAATTTCATTTTTACTGGACGGTGGGGTACGATTTTACCCTGCGTTCAGTGGGATGGAAGATAAGCCTTATGAGAACCAAAGGATAGAGGCGTACGATGCAAGTTATTCAAACCGATATCCAAGCCAGTTAGTCGGCGTTCACCGTTTTGAGGCCTAACTGGCTAATGGGAGACACCTCCTGAGCCGGTGATATCCGTACAGAAAAAATAATATAATAATTATTAGCTTCTAAAGTCCTAGAATAATATTATTTGATTGCTAATTTTACTATTCTGGCGAAACATGTCTATGTTTTTATATAAATAAATATTATTTCATATTTAAAGCTATTTATTTTAAATAACAAATCATATTTATCTGCCTAATCTTAATCAAATACCAAAATATTGAACTAAAAATTATGGCTCTTTAAAAACTGGGAAATTTTGTTGTAACTCTTGGCTCTTACGTCTCAAAAGGTTGCCGACCCCTGGGCTAGCAGTGTTTCTTCCAGACTTTTTTCTCCGGGGGGGGGGGGGCACTTGAAAATTTCGGGGGGGGGGGGGGGGGAAGCGGTAGACTTTCTTCAGGGGTGGGGCGGACACTGTTAAAAGTATATACTCTCCAGTAGCGTACGCAGGGGGGGAGCAGGGGGAGCGTCCGCTCCCCCTCTGGCCATTTTCAGCAAAGTGGCGCCTTTTTCGAAACTTTTTAAACTCAAAGTTTAAAACAATGATATTTGTTTAAAAAATATTTTTGGTCGGCACATCTATTTAAATCACAAGATTTCTTTTCATGCAGCAATTAAGCATTATTGTACTAGTCTAGTAGTGTCTACGTTTACAACACGTATTAATAGCTGCATCAGTTTGCCATTCTAAAAATAACCATTACGATGCATTGGAATTTTTAAAAATCCTCTACAGGTAGTACCACTTGGCAAGAGGGGTGTTAAGTTTAAGGCAACTGTATAATGTATTTGCCTTCGAATAATTGCATTAGAAAATGTTATACATAAAACTTCACACATAATTTAAATTACTTTATATATACAGCTTGAATCGTGTGATTAATTTTTTTTGAAAATTACTATACAGAAACAATTACAACTGATGTGGCACCTCTATTTAAATTTACTTATGGGCAAGCTGCGTAGCGGTGGGGAAATTTTGACAAGGTCAACAACGTCGTCACGATGATGTAGTAGTATTCTTACAGTTTGGGCGATAGTGATACGATTACAAATTATATGAAACAGTTACAACCCCCCTCCCCCATGGACCCCTCTGTAAAAAGAAATATTGTCATAATACCACTGCTACTTATTTAAATCTATTTCGGAATCACTATACATGTGTAATATATATATATGTATGTTTAGAACATTCATCTAAAAACTGACGCTATGTTCACTCTGAGTTGGTTATCCCCCCCCCCCCCCCACACCTCACCACCACAATTGTGTAGAGCGACATTAATGTCACACCTAGGTATACACTGGGTTGGATAATTGACCTAAAGTGACCGGACAGTAAAAAGGTGTGTGAGCAATACAGTGATCTAACCCATACCTATCACTATGTTAAAAATGATCTTTAAGGAACAAAAAGAAGCAGTAGTTAATTTAAAAATATATGATCTGAACTAAAATACCGACATTTAGTTAAATGTAGGCTGTAATTCCGAATGTTTTTCTATTAAATCGAAAAGCGTGGTTTTATACCAACTCTGATTTCAAAAACTTTCATTATGCTGTAATGCTTTAGCATTTATGATGACGATATATTTAATTCTGATTATGGACAAAAACATTTTATAAACACGAATAGTGTTAAACAATTTTATTATATTCTAAAGTAATTATTTATTTGTTTTGACATGTATAATTAAATATGTAGATATATACATATTTATATTAAGAGAGTGATTATTTCCCCTATTTCACTTGTCTTAAATAATTTCCAAGGAATTATTACGTAAGAAATTTTTTTACAAGAATTACAAAACAGATTGTGTTACGTTCATTGTTTTTGGTTGTAGTTTGTGTATATTTTGTTTGTTTTTTTTGTTTAGATTGATACAATTTTTGTTTTGTCGGCCTACATTGTGTGTTTTTTCTTATTTCTTCAGAGTGCTACTTTCAATTTTTTTACATCATAGCGAAGTAATGACATACAGCTAGTAATTATATATATATGTATATATATATATATATATATATATATATATATATATATATATATATATATATATATATATATATATAATACACGTATTTCGGCGCCTTTTTTTGCTCTTTTCGCTCCCCCTACAACGAAAACCTGGATACGCCTCTGATACTCTCTATATAAATTTCATTTCGTTCGGGGGGGGGGGGGGGGGCGGTAGAAATTCCCCCCCCCCCCTGGAAGAAACTCTGTGGGCAAGGAGAATGAGTGGATCGGTACAGTGTTGAATTATTTTTCAGATTGCTGTTTATGTGTCGTAAGGTCTATTTTATGGTGGTCGGCGTTGTTATTTTAATGTATTGAATCCTCATTAATAAAACTATGTCTCTCTTAGAACCCTTTCAAAAAAATATAAAGATTACAATTGCGCCAATTTTTTACACACTCCTTATAGAAAGATAATAATGTAGTCAGCTGCTTATTCATTTTGCATTAATTGCTTTAAGGGGATATGCAAGTGTAGCAATATAGTATAACAAATCATTAATCTCTGTTCCCAAGAAGGTACATTTAAAAAAGATTTACCGTGGCGGAGCACGGGTATGCAGCTAGTATATATATATATATATATATATATATATATATATATATATATATATATATATATATATATATATATATATATATATATATATATCCAAGCACTAATTATTTACATAATTAACTGTTAAAATAGAGTTAGATATTAGTTTATAACAAGTATAAGATACAATTGAATTATAAATTATAGTTCAGATTGGAAATCGTTTGAATAAAAGAAAAACAATAGATTAAATCTTTTTTTATTTCAAAGATAAATTTCATAATCTATTATACTTTAGAATAGAAATATTTAACGTCTAATATAGATTCTCGTTGTTTCAAATCTAACAAAGATATTAAAACACAAGTGGTACTGAAGTCGAATGAAAATCGTAGGACTGACGCCTATTTTTTTTAATCCGTAAACGTGTCTACGAGTATGCTAGCCAGAAAAAATTCTAGCCCCCCCCTCCCCGAACGAAATGAAATTTATTTATATAATTTATATAGAAAATATATACTTTTAACAGTGTCCGCCCCCCCCCCCCCTTGTCTGGAAGAAACACTGATGCTAGCATACGTGTATATGCATTTTCAGTATTAACTCCTAAAGTCAGTTTAATATTTGCTAATTAGTTGCTTCCTAAGCAAATTCTTTTAAAAATTTAACTGTAACCTTTTGGATTCAACAGTCATTAGGGCAGATGAAGTAGAGTTTCCCTGTATCCTCGGCTGTCAGGTAATCTGAGCAGGATGGACTCAATAACGTTAAATGCCCTCACACCTTTTTTCGAACTCATAACGTTTTGGTTATTACTCGTGTATTCTACCTTCCCACCACACTTACTATTAAACATAGTCCCACGTATAACTAAAATGCATTAAATGTTTTTGGCTTTTCTCGTACTCTTTCAGCCTGCGACCCAGGGTACTACGGCACAAGCTGTTTGCTACAATGCAACAAACACTGCACTGATCAGTTATGTAACCAAACCACAGGACACTGTTTTAGGTGTCACCCTGGGTACTATGGTGATACCTGTGAGCTCAGGTGCAGTGATCAGTGTGGTGGTGACCGGATGTGTGACGTCAATGGGACCTGTCTCTATGGCTGCTCAGATGGTTACCATGGTGATAAGTGTTTAGACGGTACGGACAACATAACTTAAGGGCAGCTAAACCCCCCAAAGTGAAAATTATGTGTTAGAACTTTTTTGAGAAATAAGGAAGTTGTAACTAACATAGTAAATGAAAAATGAAAAACAAAATCATTAAAAAGTTATGGTTTTAGAAAATATTTTCTAAAATGTCAATTTTAGGAGAAAATAGCTCAAAATGAGCTCTAATTGAAATCACAATAACACAGTTTCTGTTTGTCAGAATGAGATATATCTTTAACATAGTGGAATATACACAAATACAGACAGGATGAACTAAAACAATTAGAAAATAGTAAAAGAAAATGGATTTTAACCAAAACATTTTAAATGTAAGACCTAAAAAATAGCAAAAAAGTAGGAAGTAGACTTAGGTTTTTATATTATAAAATGTGAAGGTACCCTTCTTAAGTCAGGGAAGGTAAAGCGGATTAAGTGCCGTGTTAATCACATTCGATTCCAAATACGAAGATTGTAGACAGATAATCTCAACTCGCTTCTCTTTAGACCAACTGGTCTAAAAATATTCTTTATTTTATTCCTGATTGATTTCAATAAAAATGACTTTCTGTCAAATGCTTTACATCTAGAAGCTGGTTTGTAAAATGTACAATTTCAATACAACGGTATGCAGGAATAAAACGTAATAAGCATTTCGTAGTAAGTTTTAAAATCCACTACACTTAAAAATGAAAGTATTGTTTTCCTTTTCTTATGATAAAATACTTAAAGCTGTGGTCATTCATAAAAATCGTGTAAAATGATTTAACGACTAACCTTTGACTTGTCAGTAGAGTTGCAAAACATCTAAAAAGTTTCAAAGAATTCGCTAGATTTAATTTCAAACGTGGTCAAAATTAAGTTTCAAAATGTTACCACAAACCCACACACACACAGATATACCGACAAATGAAAAGAGTGACTTTGACAAAGGTTAAAATCCACAAAATTACTTTTAAAGCTGACCTACCATTTACATCGTGCGACGTGATGAAATTTGGCCCCTCCTGTACACAAACCTGCTGTCCCAACTGTAAACCTGTCGAACCTGCAGGGTCTACCACTTGTCACTATGTTACAGGCGCCTGTCTGTTGGGATGTCGTATGTGAGACCTCTAGAAATGTCATCAAAATGTGTTAATCCTAATCTAGTGTTGGGATTTACACTTGGTCCTTGTGATAAGGGTTAATTCTTTTGTAAGTCAGTTAATTTTGTTAATCCTAATCTAGTATAAATATATGACATCTGACCTGATATTGTGTTATTAATTGAACCTCTTTCAGCCTGTAACGAATATTATCATGGTCTGAACTGTTCTGAACGTTGTAGTTCGTATTGTGGAGGGAATGGGTCATGTGACAGTGTCACTGGGACGTGTCTTGAGAACTGCACTAGTGGCTACATGGGGTCACATTGTAATGAATGTAAGTATTGTTTATATTTTATTGTATGTGTGAAAACTTTATGAAGTATGTAGACGAGTCTCGGTAAGCAGATGAAAGTAGTTGATAAGCAGAGTTTCTTCCAGGCATCTCTTCGGGGGGGCTAAGCCCCCCCGAAAAATTTTTACCGCCCCCCCCCGAACGAAATGAAATTTATATAATTTATATAGAAAATATATACTTTTAACAGTGTCCGCCCCCCCGAAGAAAGTTTACCGCCCCCCCGAAGATTTCAAGTGCCCCCCCCCCCGGAGAAAAAAGTCTGGAAGAAACACTGTTGATAAGTTTTTGTATCAATGACGTGTAGGGGAGCTATGTTTAGTGGAATTGTTAAAAACGGCTTTAATAATTTCTGAAACGATTTCGTTAATTTTTTTGCAACTGTATGACTATAACTTCACCAATTATAAGTCTTAACTCATCACTTAGCTGTTAAAATATTGTCATGCACTTTTATCAATAAAATAATATATATAATTTAACTCTGAAAAAAATAATTAAAAAATAGTAAAAATAATATGCCATATAGTATAGTAGAGGTTTTTAAGCTAATTTGTCAATCCGTTTGTTTAATGTTTAAAATTTAAAAAAAAAGATGAAGTATCATTATATTGTCACACACCTATATGTATATAGTCATGTTTAACAATACTAGCATATTACAATTTTACGATTTCATTTTAAAGAACCTTTGGAATATAACAACTTTTATACTTTTATACATTTTACGTAACACAGCATGTGTGGACGGCACCTGGGGAGATCGCTGTAGTTATAACTGTAGTAGATTTTGTAAGAGATCATTGAACAACACTTGGTGTGATCCTGTCAATGGTACTTGTCTAAACGGCTGCACAGAAAACAGATACGGGGCTGTTTGCTTGAATGGTAACGTGCACTTATTTATTTTGTTCCAGAACACAGAGTAACTAATCGGCCTTAAAATTGTAGAATACGTGTATATTTTGTGTTTTGCTATTTGTTAAGCAATGTGTCGATAGGGCTGGTAAGTAGGTCACCAACCAGTTCTACGGTTCATGCAGGTTTTATTGAGCTGGTTGGTGACCTACTTACCAGCCCTATTACAACTAAAGGCTCTGCTTTATGAAATAAATTATTCAAACAGAAGCCCTCAGTTATCAAGATAAAACATCCGCATTGTACAGTATCTTAGGAGTGGTACCGATGATTGCTGCTGTCGTCATTATAATCGTTATTATCAAATGGAGGTACACCAGTCAATATAACTTATCTTTTCAATTACACGATATACTCTTAAAATGATTATTTTATTTAGTATTTAGATGTTATTTAAAAATGTATTTTATCCAATTACTAATGTAGAAAATCTAAAAAAGCTCAAAAAACAATATCTACAAAACCTAAAGAGTTAACGCAAACGAAGCAAATAACTACTTTAGGTAAGTGGGAATATTTAAAATTTTACCAACATCGATGTTAATATGTTAAATTAACGATGTTATTTTTTTAAATTAAAACTTTGTATTCATTAACCATTTAGAGTACACATCAATAGCTGCGAGTGACCTGTGCACATTTATCAACTCACACACTAGTGAGTACTATAGTGATACATTCGTGGTAAGTAAATAACTGTCTTAACGCAACTCTTTGTACAGTAGACAATTTACATATTTCAAAAAATTATATTAGATATCTTTACAAAATATGTGTACCATTTATACATGCTTTTTTACCTTTAAGACTGCCATTTTCTAATAGGCGAATACTCGATGACAATGCACTTTGACATAAATGTGACAAAATCAGAATTAATTTTAAAAAATATACAATGTTTGTTTTATTAAGCACTAATTTTTGCTTTGATCATACACCATTTGTTGCGTTCACTTTGTGCGCAGTTCATTTTCTACACGATTCTTTCGTATTCCTTTCTGTTACATACGAGAAAGCTTAGGGGAGATAACTTCTGCTTTTATAATATGAAATATTTCAAGTACTAAAGCATTACTTAAAACTTATGTATTCATTATTTTAGTTCGTTCACCAATGTAATCATATCAGTTTGTTAAATACTTTTTAAGGGTTTTAGAAATTTTCGTCTAACTGATAAATCTATTATTCATAGACCATCCCTACACCTAAAAATAGAAGTATGACTGTTGGTCTCGGTGACATAAATAAAAGTAAAAATCGCTACAAAAATGTGTGTGCATGTAAGTAAGGATTTTACTAGTTTCTTTTATAAAAAGAAATAAGTTCATTGTAAGAAATGTTTCAAAACGAAAAACAAACCAACACACCCAAGGCAGTATTTATGATATATATATATATATATATATATATATATATATATATATATATATATATATATATATATATATATATATATATATATATAAACTATGGTGTACTTTTATGTATCTTGACACCCTAAAATACTCTTTAACTTCAGATGATGAAACAAGGGTCCGCCTTTCTGTAGACAAGAGTACGGATGAATCAGACTACATTAATGCATCTTTTATAAGGGTTGGTATTTATTAACGGTGTGCGGTCACTTGATCCCAACACATGTAAACCCAGACAAATACTCATTGGCACGTAATTTTCTTGTTATTTAATCCCTTGGCACAGGTTATCGATTCTGCTATGCTTAATTAAGTCAAGTTACTGAATACTTTATCCCTACACTTTTAATCGTGTATAAAACAACTAATGATGCTGTTAATCACAAATTCCTGAGTGCAACCAATTGTGACTACGCTAGTCACTATTCCTCTTTGAAACATTTTTAACCGGGAGAGCGGTCAAAGTGTTTGGGATCAGGCTAGACTTAAAAATGTGTAACTTTCGTTTTTAGGATTAAGTCGCTATAGATTTTAAATGCCTTGGGATTAAAAACATAATGGATTACGTGTCGGAGATTAAGCGTGGGCGATTAAATGAATAAAAACTGTTATTTACATAAGTATTTATTTGCAAGTTAAAGGTAAAAGTGTTTGATTTGAATCAAAACAGTGATTTAGCAATCATTTTAAAATTTTGAAATGAATCAAACTGCACATTGGTTTGTTTAATTATTCAACAACTTTTCAATCTTCCTATAAACAGACATTCAAGCTAGAATCCAACATTATTGCTGCACAAGGTTGCCTTTGAACTATTTTTAAAACGTGTTATAGGTTTTTCATTTACTCAATTTTACTACAAGTAGTAGTTTAGTAGTAATTATTGTTACTTTTTAAAATTTTTAACATTTTAGATTTTCTTTTAGCTTTAAAAAACAAAGCTCATTTATGAAACGTTTTTGCTTTAAACAGGACCCAATAAGTCAACTATAACAGATTTTATACGAATGCTATGGGAACAAGAGGTCGAAAAGATTGTTATGTTAACTAACATCATCGAGGAAGGAAAGGTATTCTGTTTCTTTTTCTGTTTTTTTTTCTATTTAGCCGTTCAAATGCACTTTTTTTATTTTATACGCCACAATATTTCTTTAAGCACATGATGTCTTTATCGATGAATGTTATATATTGAGTAAATGCATTGAGCTAAGTACAGGTCAAGGTTACATGAATGCGAATATTAACAGAGCAAGTGTGAGCAGTACTGGCCTGACGACAACCAAACACGTTTCAACAACTTCACTGTCAAGTTAGCCTGCACTCAAGTCTTTGCTCATTACACCATTAGAAAGCTGAAACTCTGCAAAGTTGGTTTCCAAATTTAATTTTAAAATAAACCTACATTTAGATAAAGTTTAATTACAAAAACGTCACTAAAGATAAAGGGGAAAAAAAACTCACGAAATGTACTACAAAATATTTTCAGTTTATAATAACCATAACCTCTCTCTCTTTAAGTCTATTTTTCGAATCCAATTAACTCTGATTTCTTCATAAGAATTCACGTAAATATATTGTAAGTGGATATCGCTATGCATGTTTACACACTACATTGTGTGACCAGGACGGGGAAGCTGAACGAAGCCTGACACAATTCCACTACACATCCTGGCCTGACAAAGGTGTACCCGCCACACCCTGGGCGCTGGTAGATTTCCATCAACAGGTCGAGCTTTGTGCAACAACCAAACCCGTCCTAGTTCACTGCAGGTAATGTTCTAAAATAATTCCTGTGGTGCACATAATCTGCCATAAAGCACTCTTGATAAATAAATCATAAAACATATTTTTGTTAACTACGTTTACAAATTTGAATTCCAACTATAGTTGTTTTATTGGAAATTTTGAAAAGGTTTAACCTTTTGTCTATAAGGAATATTTTTTAACCTTACCTAAAATTTAAATCACAAAGAGAAGCTCTATATTCAAACTTCGTTTCCCAGCGCTGGTGTAGGCCGTACCGGTACTTACATAGCTCTCTGTAACGTCCTACAGATGGTAGCGGACACAGGGATGGTAGATTTTTTCAGCACAGTCACCAAACTACGCGAGGATAGAATCATGATGGTACAAACTGTGGTAAGTTCCTGGGGTATTTAATGACTAGCACAGTCTCCAAACTATGCGAGGATAGAATCATGATGATACAAACTGTGGTAAGTTCCTGGGGTATTTAATGACTAGCACAGTCTCCAAACTATGCGAGGATAGAATCATGATGGTACAAACTGTGGTAAGTTCCTGGGGTATTTAATGACGGTAATACAGAATGTCACGTGACTAATTAATTGAAGTGCCCTTTAATTCCCAGGAGCAGTACGAGTTCTTACACAAAGCGTGTCTGGTAGCAATGTACTGCAGGGACAAAACTCTTCCATTGGCGAACGTTAGTGACACAAGTATAAACTACAACCGTCAGGAATACAGTGTAATTATTTTTTTTAATAAATTGATTCGGTGTACAATATGTGTAGCTAATGAATTTGTAGATGCCAAAAAAACTATTACTGTGATAATTATATTCTTATTAAACTCTAAAAAGTGTAAAACGGTCAATATTTAGATCATATTAAACAATATCGATGCTGTTTTACTATTTTATTTCAGGAGCTTTGCAATATTGTAGCAAGTGTAAGGAAAAGTGAGGAAGATCATGACCAGGAAACTGTTTACCAAAACTGTGACGTATCAATCGGATTATCAGGTTAATGTAAAAATGGTATATGTCAAATTGTAACTGGCAGCTAATGTATTCATTAAATACAGAAGCGATAATTTGTGATATGGGATACCATTACAAATCAAAGTTGAAAGACGGACCATTCTTTTTTAAAAACATATAACTGAAAAATGCACTTCTTTTGGACCTGATTTATTGAAGTTATTTCCTATAACTAAAGACAAATTAAGGTCTTTTCACACTAATATACATGTTATATATAACTCACAGATCACTCATTTATTTTTATCCACAGATTTGGATGCGACTACTAATGTAATATTTTTATCGGTAAAAAATATTTCTTTTGACAAAAATTACATTCTACAACTTTTAAAACATGTGTTCTTTAACGCACGAATACTTTTAACATTTCAATAAATAAAAGTTTTATTTTATGATAATAAAAGTTTGGAGTCTAGAGTTAAAAATGAACATACTAAGCCCTCTGAATAGTTTTACAACCTATTAGATAGTATTCACTCAGAATGACTAAGTTCATTTTTTAACATTACTCAGAGCTTTACAAAACTAGACGATCAAATTGTGTCCCAAGCCCCACAGAATTCCAATATGGCAGACTTCTGGACACTGGTCACTCAGTACGAAGTATCTGTGATAGTGACTTTTGAATCGGACATGGAATCTCAACCAGAAAATGAACTGGTCAAGTTTTTACTTTGTATTTTAAACATCAATTCACATTTCAAAAACATTATAACTTAATGCAAAACCTAATATGATTTACCTTTATAGCTAACGTTAGTGATTTATTGTAAAACATGCTTTAACTTTTCGACTGATCCATTGTATGTTTCAGGCATCCTGTAAGTATTTCCCCGTCGATGGAGCCGATCCTCTCAATGTGGCTACCTACAGCATCACAACAGAAAGTTTAAAATATGGGCAGTACTGGGAGACACGAAACCTGAAGGTTCACAACAACAATACGGTTCAGTTGGTGAACCAAAGTACTAATGTAACGGTGGTTTGGTTCATTTGAAGCACACACATAAACGCATACTCATACAGACGTAAATATATATATATATATATATATATATATATATATATATATATATATATATATATATATATATATATATATATATATATATATATAATGTATATATTTGAGTGTGTGATTGTTTATTTGATTATCTATGCATATAATTTGTTTCAGAAAGAACTAGACGGTTTTAGTGTAACCCTATTGAAAGTCACAAACTTAGACCTGGATCCATTGAAATTGCTAACTCTGCTGAAACATATCCGAGGGCTGAAAGCAGGGGACAAAGGCCCTGTCATGTACGTGTACAGGTGGGTCGTTAAAAACATTATTTCAAGTCTCGTCAATTGCAGCAACTATTCCTAGATGTGAACAAGTGTGCCCATAACAAATATAATTTGTTTATATTGTCTATTTCATTTGTTTGGGGTTTTTTTGCTTGATTTTCCCTACAAGTTCGTGCTAGTACACGCAAACCAAGCACCCCAAAAAAACGCGAGTGCTGTTACCAAAATTGTTTGCTAGTGCTACCACTTTATGTTTTTGTGGACAAAATGTATGGCCTAGTGGTAGAAAGTTAGACTGCTAACCCGAAAGTCTCGAGTTCAAATCCGGGTCCAAGTCAGTAGAACCTCCCTAATTTCACCCAGTTTTGATGAGTACCTGACTCACGGTTAGGAAAAAAAATGCCGCTGGGCATAGTGCTGACCACACTATCACATCAAATGCCGAAATCACTGAAGCAGATAAACTCTACTTCATCTGCCCCATGTGTCTTGGGGACGAACTGGAGAAGGTGCTGAAACAACATAGTTAATCACGGTATAGTATTTATAGTAAATCACTGACTAAATCAGATCAGAACTAAATATCTCCAGCAAAAAAAAAGATGACATTATAACAACAAAACTTAATGATTTATCTCTAGAGATGACGCCACTTTCTGTGGCCTGCTGGCTGCTCTAAGTCTGGTGCTTGATAGACTAGACTACCATCACACCCTCACAGTACCGCTAGTGGTGGGCTCGGTCAAATCTCTTTTACCCACAGCCATCCCCACAGAGGTCAGTACTTGTTTATAACAAATTTATAACACTACCAAAACAAATCAATCATTCCATATATTTCAATGTTCAAATCATATAAGTAATGTACAGTGGCTGAACTAGAAAAAAAGGGCTACCCCGAAAAAAATAATTCTGGGCCCCCCTATATATATATATATATATATATATATATATATATATATATATATATATATATATATATATATATACCTATATGTACACATATATATATATATCATCAATTGTCTATGTTGATTAAGTAGATTCATAGCTACACTTTAAAACATTAATGGTATATATTAAAAAAGTAAATGTGTGGCTGCATTGTCTAACACAAATAGTGTTTATTAAAAAAAGTAATTGTGTGTCCCCCCCCCCCCCCCCCGCCCATAATGAATAGGAAGAGTACGAGGTCATCTACAAAGTGATACAGCACTATGTCAAGTGTGTGTGTTTGGATAAAGTGGACGGAGATTGCTCGACAAGGAAGGACATGAACTGTGTTTTCAGTGACGATCACGTGTATGCCAACACAAAGGTCATTTACACACTCACTAGCTAACTTCAAGCTTTGCTGGAGTTTTTTTTTTTTTTTATTCATAATTGTTGAAAGCTGCTGAACTACTATCCAAATATGCATAGTTTATTTTGTTAAATTTATTTTAGTGATTTTTGTTAGTGTATTATCGACAGCTTGACTTGTTTAATGAATCTTAAACCCTTACACTCACACAAAAATCTGATGCAGGCTATGTATTCATGTTCTAAGATGATTAGGGTGTGGTTTGATAATTGAATTTGTGAAAGTTTTTTAATATATTATTTATTTAATTCCAAGTATGGTATTATAACCAAAGTCATTGCACGTTTTCAGTTTTAATTTATTTCCTAATTCTGTATACTTGATTTATAAGTTGTTTTTTTTTATAATCTAAAAACAATAAACACCTATACAGTGGTTTTAATTACTGCACAATGTCTTACGACATTTAACTATTGACATTACATTGTTATGCTGGCAGTAGGATCATTAACATTTAATCTTTTTCTAAATAAAATTGTGAAATAAATATTGTCTTTTTGATTATACATTTGTTCCTTTTTGTTTTTGCTTTATTTCAAATGATATGATCTCTAATACCACGCTTACACTTGCGATATGTATACTAAACATTTTTAGGAAAAAAAAACTTCGCTATAGGGCCTAAGATAATAGGTGAGCCTACTCACTTATTGCGAAGGTTTTTTTTTTTTCTAGACATGTATAGTATACATGTCGCAAGTGTAAACGCGGTATAATAATTTCATGCATGTCAGTGTTTGGTTGTCATGTATTCTCTGTACCATAGAAAGCATTGTTTCAATGCCAAAACCTTGTGCGAGGACAGGATGTGTATAAGACTAAGTCAAAACACGATATAAAAGTTATTTTGTTTCACTTATTTTCATTTTACTTTTCAGTTCTCAGCACCACACACACAAACTTCCGCCACCCACCCCTCACACAAACCCCAACGCATTTAACGCAATTAAAAACAGGCCACGCCTTTTAATATTGCGTGTCAAAAGGTCTCAACGAGACGAACTTCCTGTATAAAGAGCTCCAATCTATTTATAGCTCACGCTCATTTCAACTAAGCGCAGTTGTTATCGTGCGAACTGCACTAAAACATCACACACTTTTAACATCCTGGATAAATATTTAAAATATAATAAAATATTGTATCAAAACATTTTCAAAATCTTGCACTAAAAATTAGTTTGAAGACAAGAATTTCACTAGCTTGTTTTAGGGCTGTAAGCGTTTACTGGTTAGCTTTATACACAAACATTAGATTAATTTACACGACTTAAAACTTTCAATATTTAAATATACACGCACATACACACACAGAGACACACGCATATATATATATATATATATATATATATATATATATATATATATATATATATATATATATATATATATATATATATATATATATATATATATATATATATATATATATATATATTATATTCACATATTGTATATACAAATATGTATATATATATATATATATAGGCCTATATATATATATATATATATATATATATATATATATATATATATATATATATATATATATATATATACATATATATATATATATACATATATATATATATATATATATATATATATATATATATATATATATATATATATTTTATATTCACATATTGTATATACAAATATATATATATATATATATATATATATATATAGGCCTATATATATATATATATATATATAGGCCTATATATATATATATATATATATATATATATATATATATATATATATATATAGGCCCATATATATATATATATATATAGGCCTATATATATATATATATATATATATATATATATATATATATATATATATATATATATATATATATATATATATATATATATATATATATATATATATATATATATAATAAATAAATATATATATATATATATATATATATATATATATATATATATATATATATATATATATGACACTCAACTAAAATCATCAAATACACTATTAAAATATTGCTGTGAGATATTTTGTCTGAGATCATTTGTCCTGTCACCATATATATATATATATATATATATATATATATATATATATATATATATATATATATATATATATATATATATATACACACATATATATATATATATATATATATATATATATATATATATATATATATATATATATATATATATATATATATATATAACCCTTGAAAATGCTCATAACTACTTAGCACACTAATCAGGAAGTAAAAAAAAATAATCCTGTTATAACTTTTAACTCGGATAAGGTTTAACTTTATTAGACGCAATAACCTAGACACGATTTGGATTGATAAAATCGCATCAGATGTTCACTGTAAGTAATGTTTTCATTTTTCTCCGTGGTAAACTTTAATATGTGTTGTTAGTCGTCGTCATGTTGTTAAACACGATGAACATGTGAACACATTAATGACCCAACCTCGACTCACTATGGATTTCCAGTGCACTGTGTTAGTGCACTACGCTAGTGTTCCGAAATATTAACATGCCTGCTAATGGTAACTGTTAAAGGCTCTGGTCACTATATCTGGTTAGTTTATTGCCGTTTGTTAGAATCAAAATTGTAAAAAAAAATTACGTTACAAAATATCCAACGAACACCTTGCACCCACTACCCACTTAGTGAGCGATATGTGGATAATGTGTGTTAGCGAGTGTACGGCCTACGTTATCTGTCAGCCAATTGTTTGTTGATTGTGTGTTTCGTGTGTTCTATAAGCTCTGCTAACCTTGTATATGCATTAATAATTACACACATACAATATTTCAATACAATGTATATTAAATAATTTCTTAGATGTGATTATCGACTTTAAAATATTACGTATTATATCTCTGAATCGTATGAAACTCCTACTAAAATACAGAATATTGAGCGTAGTAGCCTGCCCCCACCTTACTATATAAACACAAAATCTTACTACTTAATCTCGCCAACAAAAACATTCGTTTCAGTACCATCTTCACACTTCAGTATGCACTCCCCATTCAATTGTCATCAAGCAATTTTCTTTAACAGCAGGTTAAAATATCAGTCACAAAACAACGATTTAACTTTGATATCTACTATTTACTAAATCAGAGATCAGTTCTACTTATATTTAAACATTTCTGTAATTTGGTTTATTTGATTTCTATAACAGGAAGAGTCCCGAATATAGAGACCCACAGCGAGAGAAGATGAAGAGCTACCTTCTTCTTTATTCCCTACACGTCGTCTGTGGTCTAAGTATAAACTGTGTTTAATTGAATACTCATACACGCAAACACACACACACACACACACACACATACACACATAGACACACACATACACACACACACGTCGTCCGTGGTCTAAGTATAAACTGTGTTTAATTGAACACACTCATACACTCATACACTCATACACTCATACACTTATACACTCATACACTCATACACTCATACACTCATACACTCATACACTCATACACTCATACACTCATACACTCATACACTCATACACTCATACACACACACACATAGGCACACCCATGCATACACACACACTTTAACGATGTCAGTGTGTCTGCTTAACGCGGATGGTGCCATTTTGTGTTCGATCATCAAGTGAACTCGAATTTTAAGTGGAGAACATTTATTCAGAGGCTTAGCGACCCTTCACGCTGACAAACTTTTCGATTTGCACCCCCTCGAGATTTCGATTTGCATCCCCCCCCCCCTCAAACTTTCGATTTGCACCCCCCTCAACCTTTCAATTTATTTTTCCAACCTATTTTAGCGCCCCCTAAGGTCGGCGCCCGGGGAAATATGCCCCCCCCCCCCTCGCTACGCTACTGCATTTATTTTTCTGGGCACATTTTTAGTTTGGTGTTACCCTTTCAACGATATAATCAAGTGCAGTCCATCAAAATAAAAGTTCCGATAAACTCAACCACCCATTAGCGACAAAACTCCATTTAACTCAACATTTATCGTCAACATTAGTGACAAAGCGCAATTATAACCCACCATCATTAGCGACAAATACTTAGCGACATTCAATCAATCCCATTATCGATTCCCTAACATTGAACGGGTTTCGTGTCTTCTTATAATAGAGTTACTAAAGTGCAAGTATTTCACAACATGTAGACCATATTTTTACTGATAATGTTGGATTTTGACTTAGGCCATACCAAGTCTTCTTGCACATAAAAAATCTGCTGTATTCTATAATGATGTTGTACCACGTCATTGTATTCAACCATTCACTTTCTCAGCAAATGATGCTATACCACCTCTATTCAACCATTCACTTTCTCAGCAAATGATGCTGTACCACCTCTATTCAACCATTCACTTTATCAGCAAATGATACTTCACCACCTCTATTCAACCATTCACTTTATCAGCAAATGATACTTCACCACCTCTATTCAACCATTCACTTTATCAGCAAATGATACTTCACCACCTCTATTCAACCATTCACTTTCACAGCAAATGATACTTCACCACCTCTATTCAACCATTCACTTTCACAGCAAATGATGCTATACCACCTCTATTCAACCATTCACTTTCTCAGCAAATGATGCTGTACCACATCTATTTATTCAATCATTCACTTTATCAGCAAATAATACTTCACCACCTCTATTCAACCATTCACTTCCCCATCAGTGTGGAACTCCCCCAACAACAGATGGTACATTTGTCACTGTGTTGACGACCAGTGTATGACGGATGGGACTTGTAGACCCGGCTATCAATGTGTCAGAGGCTGGTTCGGTCCCGCTTGCCAATACAGTAAGAAAATCTTGTTTTTTTTTTATTTTACACTTATTGTTAGTTGGTTGACGTTTATGTTTTATTTATTTAAGGTCGGCATGTTCACAGTATAGTTTAAAGTCGGTATATTCATAGTATACATTGAAGTCGCAATGTCAAGAGTATACATTGGCATCTATTTGTTCACGGTATAAACTTAAGTCGGTATGTTTACAGTATACATCAGCGTCGGTATAATAACAGTAGAGTGCGTCGATATTAGCGTTATTAGCGTCGGTATGTTCTCAGTATACAATTAGAGGGCGAACATAGTTTATGCATGTCTTGTTTTTTAAACTGCTGTTTCAATACTGAATTATAAGTTATAGTATTGTATAACATACTTTCATTTGATAGGAATAGATTGATGAAAACATTATATTTGCTAGAGTTACTGTTATATTTAATGAAAACTATACTTGCAATTGTTACTGTGATATCGAACGAAAACGTTACTATTATAACGATGTATAACGTGATTATGGGACTGGGTGAGGGGGGGGGGGGATAAAGAAATGTGAGCAAGTAAATATTCTGTTGGCTTTGATTAGAATGAATTATTGTATTGGGAGGGGGGTTTGTCTTTTTGTGACGACAACTGACTGAAGGGAGCTAAGGCAAAAACAATGAGCAACATTTACTCCATAACAATTATTGAGGACGACTAATTTAATACATATTTGTATCATCGCTCCTCTTTAAATTATCAATGTTCTTATTAACAGAGGACCTGGGTACTGAAGCCAACATAACCCTTGTACCTGCAGGTCTTGATACACACTTGTTGACGGATGGTAACGACACGACTTGTGTTAATGTTACATCAGCAGCACTAACATGGGGTGCAGCACACTACTTCACCTGGCTTAGGATCACGTCACATCACACAGGCGAGTCACTGTAGGCTTGTATTGTTTTGTTCCGTGCAGTTTGTGTATGTAGAATAGTCAACCAGGCGAGTTACTGTGGGCTTGTATTGTGTTGTTCCCTGCAGTTTGTGTATTTAGAATAGTCAACCAGGCGAATCATCGTATCGTAAGATTGTAAATGTAATTTTTTGTTCCGTGCAGTTTTTTGTATGTGGAATAGTGTTTATTGTTAGAACAATATTTCTTCATTGCAAAAAGCGTATGTTTGGGTCATTATCTAGTTTATACTAATCCTTAAACATCTTACAGTCTGCATTAAAAATACACATTTTATTTTTCAATAGATTCAGGAAAATCTGAAATAGAACTAGAGTTGGAAAACAACAGCACTACTATAGAATGCAGCAATGTAACCACTTACACCGTCTCCAAAACAACAAGGGACATAGTCTGTCGTGCAGGGGATATAAGTGACAAGCTCATCATTAGACTACCAGCTGGTCAAGTTATCTGCTCCTTGTTTATAAGTGGAGGTAACCATTAAAGTTTCTGGTCACTTGTCTAATATACTTATCACGACACCATTCTGTATAGTGATTAATATGCCGAACGTCTCTTATATAGATATCAATGCATTAAAATGTAAACTTTACTAATAGTGATGTTGTAATCGCCAGCCTGTCTGTGTAAGTGAAGTAATAAAGAAGTATTGATATTTCAGGTCTACTGACTTCATAGATATGTTAAAATCGTGATATTTTTTCAACATTGTTAGAAATGGGAAACTTAACCCAAACCTTTAAAATGCAGGTTATGAGCCTCTCAAGATAAAATCGTGATATTTTGGGAATTATTTGAAATGCAAAACTTAGATCTATCTACACTATTTTATGCACCTCTGAAGATAAAATCTTGATATTTTGATGACGTCAATGTTAAAAAATGATCTTCGTATTTGAAATCTCAATTAAACACATAGGACAACAAACTTCCTACAGTAAGAATAAAACTATTTTTAAAAATGCGTGATTTTAAATAGAAATTAGGAAGTCGGCGTGGTCGGGTCGATTAAGCTGATGGTTGTTCATGGTTGCTGAACCGATAAGTCCGCGGGCAAAGTTCAGGTCAGCAGAAGTTGGAGGTAGTGTACGAGTCCAGCTTTCAGATTTGATCAGAGGTCGCGGTGATTCCCGAAGCGTCCTTGCATTTTTTATGAATGTCTAGGCGCTTTCTACAAACTAAGAACAGAACATGGTGTTCTCCAACAACTGTATACCAGAAGTGAGTTTTCCTTTCTGAACAAACAACTGCTCCATTGCCGTACATGGGCACCTAATGAAAATCACTACGAACCAATCACTGACCGGCATCGAAGGCTACCAATGTGCTCTGCCGGCTCGCACATAGTCAAGAGCAAATGTAGACACATTGTACAAGGAGTAATAACTGGTCTATTGGTGGTGATTCTGATCAAGACATTCAGTTTAGATTCAGCAACGATAAATGCTTTGAACTTTCAAAACCAAGTTGTAGCTGAAGATAAGTAACAAATGTGAAGTTTGTTTCAACGTAGGGCTCGTAGATAGAAAGTGAACTAAAGAACGATTTAAGAGTTCGTTAATACTGTTCTGTACAATTTAATAACTTTACAGTAAAGAAAGTTTATAAGTTACTTATGGAAAGCCGTGTTTTATATTTTTCTTAGCTCTTAAAATTTCGACCAAACAGTTTCGTTTTCCACTCCACCCGCTTTGATCATATGCTATTTTACTGCTCAGATCGCCACATAAAAATAAAGTAGCGAGAAAGGTAACGTTTTACCACGAAAAATTTGTCGCGTCATTTCCTAATAACACTAGCTGGAGAAATCATAGATTTTTCGTTACTACAATTTACTTATTTTTTATCGCTTCAATTTACGCTGGCAAAAAGCACCCCCGCCTTCGCTGCAAATGAGTATCTTCTGTGTTATAACTGTTTTATAGGTAGAAATGTGGCATTTAATCAGACTGCTGCCCAGACTAGTGATTACAGTAAATCATCCAAGGCAGGCAAGGCAGTAGACGGAAATACGGAAAGCGTATTTACAAAAGGAAGCTGTACACACACGGCGAGCACAGACAAAAATCCCTCATGGAATGTCACATTTGTTCAAGAGTCAAATATCCACACGTACGTCTTGTATAACAGGAATATAAACCAAGGTATTAATTTATTATTTCAGGTGTTTGAAAATGGATGTTAGAAAAAGACCTACTTACTTATTTATTTTAACAGGCTCATTTTTTTTAAATTGATATTATATATATATATATATATATATATATATATATATATATATATATATATATATATATATATATATATATATATATATATATATATATATATATGTGTGTGTGTGTGTGTGAGAACGCATGTCTGTTTGTCTGTCTGTCTTTTATGTTTTACTACACCTTCCAATAATCGTTGATTTTATCGAACCAGGCGCGTGGACGGCGCGCCGTGTCAATATTATAGGGTTTTCCTTAAAACAGAATGATTAACGTACACTCAAATCTTTCATACGCCACGCTCTGGTGACTGCTGGGTGGTAGTGTAAGCAAACCCCTGCTCCCACAAATATGATCCAAGAAATGTAGTGCAGGCATTGTTTACATTTAAATAACTCAATTTAAGAAAACAAGGTGACACGTCTAAGAATATAGGATTGGTAAAGCATTGATGAAACCCCTTAAAACATTTCGTCAGACTTTCTTCTAGCCTTATATTTTGATTTTGATTAAGATTTAAATCTTTAATTAGAGCGACTTCAGAATTTTTCCCTGACAAGTGGCGTAAACAAAGACCCATCTTTCACCTACACCGATAACAGTGGACAGACGAAAAGTATGTATCAGATATCCACACTGGCAAGACCAGCGTCTTATGTCAAGATATCTGCCGGTGGCCAGAAAATTCTCACTTTATGTGAGGTTTTCATTTTTGGTGGTGAGTTAATGACAGTTAATGAATCATCTCAACATTTCCTGTATTCTCACTATATGTTTGGGTAGGTCTGCTACAATGACCACCAGATGACCCTTAAGAGGTTATAATTAACTGGCTGTTAAGCTTGTGAGGGTACCGATCTCATCAGTCGTACTTTAATATGCACAAACACTTGATAGAAAGCGTGTGTGTAATATAAGTTTATTAACACATATTGTAACACACGCAATGTTGCTTCCAGAGGTTGATATCAGACTACTCAGACCACCTAGACAAGGCAATCTCTTTCTTACAATCCTTAGGCTAATTCGGTCTCACTATTGAGCCACACAGGTCATACTTTCTTACACTTTGACGATCAAGACAAGGACTAAATCTCACCTAATCCACAGCAACCAGTTTCTATACAAAACGTCACTATATTTCATACACACTAACATTCCTTTGCACTTAAAATGCCCAACTCCTAACAAATACCACTGTCCACAGTCGCTGGGACATAATTAGTGGTATTTTGTGCTTTTATATAAGTATTGCATCTGCACCTGCTTGTGATTCAATATGGATACAGTGCTCATTGGTTTCAACACTTGAACTTAGGTGTATGTCAGAGGCGTAGCGACCCTTCCCGGCGCCCGGAACAAGCTTCTTTCGATTTGCACCCCCCCCCCATCTTACTTTCCAAACTTTCAATTTGCACTCCCCTCGAACTTTTCATTTGCACCCCCCTTCAAACTTTCAATTTGGCGGCCCCATAAGGTCGGCGCCCGGGGACATATGTCCCCCCCCCCCCCGCCCCCCCCCCCTCGCTACGCCTCTGGTGTGTGTAAACGAAAAATCTAAATACTATGATTAACCAATAATGAACAAGGTACAAGTGTGTATAATTAAGAGCAATATATACGTACATATAAATATAAATAAATCAATATATATATATATATATATATATATATATATATATATATATATATATATATATATATATATATATATATATCATAGTTTTTAGAATATCAGGTATAACTACTACATACATGTCCATTTAATCAATTTAAAATTGCTCATAGACCAAATCAATAAACACCAATAAAACCAAATACATTAACAAACGTATGTTTTCAAGATTCCAACTGTGGAGGTTTGAAATACGGACCAGAATGTTCTAAAAGCTGCAACTGTTTGGATGAGGATGAAGTTTGTTTTGTTGCCACTGGAGGATGTGCTTCAGGCTGTGCTGCTGGATTTTATGGAGAAGATTGTCAGAAAGGTGAAGGGATATGCCCTAGTTGTACAATTTCGTTAATGATAAAAAAAAAAATTTGGTACAACACCAGTAGCGTAGCGAGGGGGGGGGGGGGGCGGGGGGACATATGTCCCCGGGCGTCGACCTTAGGGGGCGCCAAAATGGGTTGGAAAAATAAATTGAAAGGTTGAGGGTGGTGCAAATCGAAAGTGTGAGGGGGTGTGCAAATCGAAATCTTGAGGGGGGGGGTGCAAATCGCTACGCCTCTGTACAACACAATAACAAACAGTAGATTAAAAAAATTAAAGGGCAATACTTAAATAGGGGTTTAAAATTAAAACAGGGCAGAAGAAGTAGAGTTGATCTCTTTCTGATACAATGTCAGATGAATAAATATGGTTAGTCATATGCTCTGGCGCATTTACTTTACCTAACACGAATAGAGAATATTCTGTTATGTATGCATGAAAAATGTTTAGATATACATTTAGTTAAGTTAAAACTGTACTAATGCATGTACATTTTTTCTCAGTTTTGCTTTCAATGTTTTCAGAATGCAATAATGGAACGTGGGGCTTGAATTGTACCAAGTCCTGTGATCATTGTTTAAGTGGATCATGTGGCAAAGTTAATGGTTCATGTGTATTTGGCGAACTAGATTTTCAAAATGCTTCTTTAATTGCAAACAGTAATAATTTTTCTACAGACTAAATACTTTTGAACAAACTAAGAATCTATATATATAATTCTCTTCTGGGAGCCGTTAGAAAACAAGCTGCAAGCGCGCGCCTTGCAGTCCCCTCTCTTCCTCTCTTTCGCTACCACCCCCTCCCCCACCCCCACCCCCCCCCCTCACATGGTCAGGTGAGTTGTAGTTCACGCTAAATGTTTAGTTTGGTGACGGCTATTAGGGACAGATAATTCAGTTTAAAACTATTTTAAACTTAAAGGAGGTAACTAAGAGGAGGCTGCTTTCACGGGGGGGGGGGGGGGGGGGAGGGGGAATGGGGGTTTAGTGTTTTGAAGCAAATATTTTCAGTGTCAGCATTGGTACTGTCGAATTCACAAATTATGAATTACTGAAAAGTAGAAAAAACAACTAAATAGCGGTGTATGATACACTGCGGGTCGGCTCGTATTTCGTATTAAAAAAAAATAATTTTATAAAACAAAATATTCAACTTATATGTCAAGTTAGTAATACATTACTAGTCATTAATGTAATGTAATCACACTGACCTCATAAGGTTTTGTTTTGCTAATTATAATGTTAAATGTATCAAATGTTATATACAGAATGTGAACAGGGATGGCCAGGTGTTAACTGTAGCAAACTATGTGATGTCTGTGAAGAAAATGATTGTGCGACATGTCAAAACATATGCTATCAACGTTGTATAGATAACATAAATCAAACTAACTGTACTCAAGGTAAGAAAAATATTTTAGGCTTTTGAACTTGTTAGTGTACTTTTCTTATACATATTTATATTTAAAATATATTGAAGCGTTTTTGTAGTCATTGATTTCTTACAAAACCAGCAAAATTTCAATTCATTGAAATTATGCTTTGAACTGTTTAAAACTATAGTCAGTTAGGTACCACTTCAATTTTTTTTAAAATACTCAATAAATAAGAACGTCTAATCTTGTATTATTTCAATATAAATGTTGATTAAAATGTTTTGATCTAAGTTGTCATAACAATGCAAATTCCTGTTTGTATAAAATTATATTCTTGCAAGGTATACTAACATTGTAAATATCCTCTTATTTGCTATTTTTCAGACTGTGATGATGGTAGGCCTACATGCAGCTTTCTAGATTAGAGGAAAAAAATAGCCTAGAGTATTATTTAGCCAATTATTTAATGTTTTTTTTTTAATTTAAAAAAAATGCATTGACATCTTGTTTGAATTATTTTATAAAGTGTATTAGTATTTTTCGATGTTGAAGTTAGTCAAACTTCAGAAATGAACATCTTTTATTTAATGTAGCAGTAGCTAAAATATTTTTTTCAATTAGTTTTAAGAACGGGAAACTGGTTCCTGGGGTGTAATATTCCTCTACCTGCACACATTATATGAAATCTGCATGTAGTAATTTACATAGGAGCTGCAACCTGAAATAATTTAAGCAACATTTTTTAGCGCAATTTCCATTCTGGAAAATTGCGTTTATTAACTCCTCTTTTCTGGGAATGTGTGTCCGGGCTTTAAGTCGTATCTCCTCCTCAACGAAGCAATATCGATGACTAGTTCCAAAAGCAATTATGTTAAGCAAGTTACGAGGATGAACATAGGCCATAAAAATTCCGGGTTTCTTTCATGGATTTCCCGGAAAAGCCAAAAAACCTCAAAAAAATGCATTTTTTGGCCCATATCTCGGCAACCAGACCACTTAGCGACTTGAAACATGTACCAATCGATTCCTGCTATAATTTAGAACAATATTGCCGAAGAAAGTTTTCAAAAATATCCTTTCGTTCGGTCACAAAAAATTTTTTGAATTAATTAAAATTTGGACCGAATTAGTAGGCATTTTATCCAACCACACCACACGCGTCATCAAGTTCAATAGCTGCGCCATCACGTTCAATGGCTGCGACATCACGTTCCGTAGCTAGGCGCGCAATGGTTTTTAGTTATGTTACTCTATTGTAAATAAAACATGTAAAATACTGAAATTTTTTTAAATAAAAAACGTTTTAATAACTAACCAATGGTTTTACTAACCCTGCTCTTGGTTTACGCTACGACATAGCTATTTTTAGATAATATAAAGAAATTGCGCTAAAATTGTCACTAGACTTTTTTTAATTACTTGTTTTAAGTTCTTAAAATATTTTTTTAAACAGCTTGTGAAATTGGAAAATGGGGTGAAAATTGTAACAAAAGCTGCGACAACTGTTTAAATAATTTATGTGACAGTGTGAATGGCTCTTGTCTATATGGCTGTCTTGGTTTTGATGACCCACCAGCTTGCATAAACGGTACAAGTATATTGTATTTAATGTATGTGGTTAAAGACACTGACACATTTTTTTTTTCTTTGCAATATATTTAACTTGATTTCAAGCCAATCAGAATTTTAAATAGCTAACTAAAAGGTGTGACAATAATTTTTTATTTTGTTAAATTTAAGAATGTGAAGATGGAAAATGGGGTGAAAATTGCACCAAAAACTGTTCAAACTGTAAAGATAATTTATGTGACAAGGTAAATGGTTCTTGTACTGATGCCTGCATTGGGTATGATAACCCACCAGAATGTAACCAAAGTAAGTACTTCACAAACTTAAAGTTACAATACATTTTTCTAGTTTTATAAAGTTACACTAAGAGGCAAAACACATTAAAATAACCAATGTTGCATACCACATGTGCTTAAATATTGTTTTATTATTTCAAGATTGCAACACTGGATCATGGGGTGTAAATTGTTCATCTACCTGCACAAACTGTATGAACTCATCATGTAGCAGTATAGATGGGAGCTGTGAGCTTGGATGTCTTGGCTACAGTGACCCACCTCTGTGTAGAGCTGGTGAGATTATTTTGCTAAACTTAATTTAATTTCTGTTGATTTTTTTAACATTCTCAATTCGTTGACTGTTTTAATAATTAAATAATTAAACCAACAATATTTTATTTTTTATTTCTTAAATATTTTTTTCAACTAGCTTGTAAAACTGGAAAATGGGGTGAAAATTGCATCAACAGATGTTCAAACTGTAAAGATAATTTATGTGACAATGTAAATGGTTCTTGTACTGATGCCTGCCTTGGGTATGATAACCCACCAGCATGTAACCAAAGTAAGTACTTCACAAACTATAAATTACAAAACATTTTATTAGTTTTATCATGTTTCATTCTGCGGCAATGCAAATTAAATTAATGATTGCTTAAAGAATTTTGAAACAAAATTATAGCATCTTACTTAAGCTTAAATATTGTGTTATTCATTCAAGAATGTCAATCAGGATCCTGGGGAGTAAATTGTTCCTCTACCTGTACTAACTGTATGAACTCATCATGTAGCAGTATAGATGGGATCTGTGAGCTTGGATGTATTGGCTACAGTGACCCACCTCTGTGTAGAGCTGGTGAGAGTTTTTTGCTGATCCAACAACATCATTTTGTTGTTATGCAAATATTATTTTAACAATTCAAGTTTCAACACTTTTAAATATTATTTTAGCTAAAAACTGAAGCTAAGATGACAGTTATTATTTTATTTAACAGATTGTGATATTGGAAAATGGGGTGAAAATTGTAACAAAACCTGCAATAACTGTTTAAATAGTTCCTGCGATAGAGTAAATGGCTCTTGTCTAAAAGGTTGTCTTGGTTTTGATAACCCACCTGATTGCAATAAAGGTAAAAATATAAAATAAAAATACAACTCGTGTTTTTTTTTAATGATGCACCAGATTGAAAAAAAGGTACAATTATTTTGCGTCTATTATTCTTAACAACTCTCTAATCTTTAAATACAAAATATATTCAATATTTTTTTAACTTCAAAAGCTTTTGATCAATTTTAGGATGTGAAGAAGGTGACTGGGGTGAAAATTGCTCCAAAAGTTGTACGAACTGTAAAGATAATTTATGTGACAAAGTGAATGGTTCTTGTAGTCTTGGCTGCCTTGGGTATGTGAACCCACCTGAATGTAGTCAAGGTAAAAAAAAATTTTTTTTTTTTTTTTTTTATAATGATGGCTAAGCTCAATTCAATTTTTTGTTTTTTTATGACAAAAGACTATGAAGTACATTATTTAATGTAAGCAATATTGATACGTAATATAATAACATTATATCATATAACGTTTGCTAATTTAATTTATGTTCATATCAAAGAAAGTGAACCAGGATCCTAGAATGTAAGTTGTTCCTCTACCTGTACAAAATGTGTCAACACTTACTGTGACAGTAAATGGGAGCTGTGACATTGGATGTGTTAGCTACAGTGACCCGACTTTAAATTCTAAAGCTTTCAAGTTTTAAAACATTTGTATTTACAATCTGATAGTTTTAATTAATTCAATTTTTTTCAACAGCTTTAACAGTAACAAAAAAATATTTTTTTTTTACACTTAGCTTGTGATCATGGAAAATGGGGTGAAAATTGTACCAATAAATGCAACAATTGTGTAAATAACTCCTGTGACAGTGTGAATGGCCATTGCGTAAAAGGCTGTCTTGGTTATTATAACTATCCAGTGTGCAATAAAGGTGAACTTATTCATTTTATATTTGAGTATATTTTTGTTTGTATTACTAAAAAAAATAATTTATCAAATTTTTAAATGCTGAGCGAATATAATTTGTCGTAATTAAACTTCAAAGAATGTGAATCAGGATCCTGGGGTGTAAATTGTTCCTCTACCTGCACAAACTGTGTGAACTCATCATGTAGCAGTATAGATGGGAGCTGTGAGCTTGGATGTCTTGGCTACAGTGACCCACCTTTGTGTACAGATGATGATTGTATTTTGCTATTCCAACAACATCTATTTGTCAATATTATTTTAACCATTCAAGTTACAGTAAATTTATATACTATTTTAGGTAAAAGCTGAAACTATTTAAACAGTAATAATTTTATTAAACAGATTGTAAGATTGGAAAATGGGGTGTAAATTGTTCATCTACCTGTACTAACTGTATGAACTCATCATGTAGCAGTATAAATGGGAGCTGTGAGCTTGGATGTATTGGCTACAGTGACCCACCTCAGTGTACAGTTGGTGAGATGTTTTTTTTTATCTAAAATACATTTTGATGTGTTGTTTTGAAATTGAAAAATTTTATGTTGTTTTATAAATTAAATAATTCAAACAACAAATTTTCTTTTACATCTTGAGACTAGTTTTTATTATTTTCAAACAGCTTGTGAAAGAGGAAAATGGGGTGAAAATTGTAACAAAACCTGCAACAACTGTTTAAATAGTTCCTGTGACAGAGTGAATGGATCTTGTCTAAATGGCTGTCTTGGTTTTGATAACCCACCTGATTGCAATAAAGGTAAACATTTAAAATAAATATACTACTATTGTTTTCATTATGAGTTAAAAACAATCCCACTTAACAAATATTGAATAAGCATCAAAATATATACTTAAAAATAGTTTAATCTTGTTTTATTATGATTTTAAAGTAAATATTGAGAGTTAAAGGAAATGTTGTAAATCATAGAAATATACAAGTAATAGACATTTAAAGAATAATTTCCTTTAATATACGTCTTTGAATTAATTGGGTATTCTAACTTCCAAATTCATAATGCAGAGTTGGAAAATGGGGTACAAATTGTACAATAACTTATAAAAGCTATATTCAAAAAAATATTTTAATACTAAACACTGTATTATTTATTCATACAATTAAGATTTAAATGCTCTCATTTTCAAAAGAGCTGCTCTAATTATTTATGTAAGTGCTACAGCAATTCTCTAAATTGTAATTAAAGTAATGTTTAATGTTGATAAATATAAGACATCTTTAAAGGCAATAAAAATCTGGCATGTTTGCTGTGTACAGTTTATCTAAAGATCTGCGATATTTTGTCTGATTAAATGCATATTAATTAATTGTTATAAAAACTAGCTACTTGTTGTACTTAAATTTTAGAATGTAATGAATCCCACTATGGTTTGAACTGTGAAGAAAGATGTAGCAACTACTGCACAAATCAGATTTGTGAGCCCATAGATGGCTACTGTATCACATGTATAGAGGGGAATCAAGGCGTGTACTGCAACGAATGTAGGTTTACATACATTTGCTATATTTATTATACATTAACATCATTATAGTTTTATACAAATATTCTCATCAACTTTTTAAACATTTAAGCTGTTGCTTCATATACGTTTTTTTTTACCGACATCATGGTAAGGATAGAAACCAAAATCGATTGCATTTCTTTTTTTTACAATGTTTCATGGTCATTACAACAACACATAGATCTACTTATAATCGTTATTTTTGCGTTTTATTCAACGAGTCCGATCTAGTTTAAATACTGGATGATTAGTGTGATGTAAATTTGCCTTTTGTATAATTGTTTTTGTCCTAATTGCTGAGAATATCGAGCGGAACATCATAAGGTGAGAAATAAGTTAATACTAATCTATTTATTTTGAATACACTCATACTTGTTACAAAATATAGAAAATAAAATATTACGTCTTACTGAACTAGACACTCGTGTGATTAATTTAAAAAAATAAACGCATCACAACAGTTAACTCATTAAAAACTAACCCACCGTGTAAGAGCATCGTAGCCATTTAAAAACAAACGCTTTTTTTTTTCGAAAATTATTTTCTAGGCTAGAGATTAATTTTATAATTAAAATTGGTATCGAACTAAAGATAAGTAAATGTAGTTTTTTTTTTTTAAATTATTAAGTCATCTTGAACAATTTTGAAGTTTAACTTCTTAGGAGCCACCCTAGCAGTGTTTTTTCCAGACTGTTTTCTCCTAGGGATGTGGGGGGGGGGGGGGGGAGCACTTTATATTTTCAGGGGGGTGGGCGGACACTGGTAAAATTATGTTTTCTATATAAATTCTATTTCGCTCGGGGCGGCGGTAGACTTTTTCGGGGGCGAGGTGTCCCCACCACCCCCCGAAGAGATGCCTGGAAGAAACTCTGCACCCTAAAGAGCTACCCTCTTAAATTATGTACACTTTATAGATTCAGGTAATATAAACACATAAATTGCCTACAAATATATATTATCTAAATCTTTATTTGACAGCATGTGATAAAAGCTTCTATGGCCAAAACTGTTCATTAAATTGTAGCAGCAACTGCACAGGAAAACAATGTCACCCGATAACTGGCCACTGTGCAACGTGCATTCCTGGCAGGGAGGGCCAATTTTGTAATCAAAGTAAGCTCATTCTTATAGAGGTCAAAGTAAGTTTATTATAATGACTGTCCGAATAATCTTATTCTTAACTTAAGACAGTATTTGATATCCTGCATTTTATTACAAATGTACCATACTTATTCCTGACTATTTGTTTATACTTTACTTTTGTTTTCATGTGTGATCAATATGAGATACTTGCCATTAGGTTGTGAACACGGCTACTTTGGTAAAGGTTGTAGTGAGGGATGTAGTACACACTGTGCTGGGGATGGCGGATGTGACAGTGTTACTGGTGACTGTCTACACAACTGCACTGTTGGTTTCTTACAACCAAAGTGCACTAGTTGTAAGTTGCTTTATTTATTCCTCACTAGATTATTATAGGCCTACTCATCAGAAATATTTCATAAAAAATATTTTTACACAATTTAAACTTCTTGCTTCTGAAACTATTCAGCACAAGAATTCATAGTTTTTACTAATAAATTTAATTGTTATTTTGTTAAGCACTCTAATATTTCAAGTTTTAGTTTGTATTGAAAGGTTTTTGCAAAACAGCATGTTAAAAAAAACTAAAATTTAAAATCCCATTGCTAGAAGTTATTTTTACTTTCCCTAAACAAAGGATATGGTGTGTTACTTGAATTATATCATCTTGTAAAATCTTTCAAAACTACTGTATCAATTGTGTAAGATTACAAAATAAGTTTTACCAAGCCCATGCATGTTAAAATTGTTCATTGCATTTTTAAAATTAGCCTGTATTGGAAATACATGGGGCTATGACTGTAAAGAAAACTGCAGCATTTACTGTAATGGAATGAATGGCACAAACAGCTGTAATCATACAACAGGAGAATGTTTAGATGGATGTTTGCCTGACAGAGAAGATCCTCACTGTTTAACACGTAATGTATTTAGTCCTATCAAGTTTTATCAAGTTTTATCAAGTTTTATCAAGTTTTATCAAGTTTTATCAAGTTTTATCAAGTTTTATCAAGTTTTATCAAGTTTTATCAAGTTTTATCAAGTTTTATCCAGTTTTAGGGCTTGTCCAAATGATAAATCACAATATTTTATTTGGCATAAACTATCATCATGCAAAAAATTAAAAATAAATCACATGTCTCCCCCCCTTCATCACTTATATACATCTCAGAGAGCTCAGTCCAACCCACTCACTTTACAAATACAAATGACAATTTTTTTATAACTTTTCTCCCACAAAAAAACAAAAAAAAATAATATAACAGCCTATCACCTATCAAACATTGTCACAAAAGTCTGAACTTGATTCAATATCTCATAAAAATAATTTCTTCTTCTTGCTAATTTCTACCATTTTGTTTTATTCCTGATAACTTTTGTTGAATGTGCACAGTGAGATCTGATAACGGTTCACTTACTTCTGGAATTGTCATCTTCATATTGTGTTTCTTCACTGCTATTGCTGTAACATCTGGTGGATTTATATTTTTAAGGTATTTACATCTTTTTTCAAACTTTTATACTATAATTAATGAAACTATTTTTAATAAGATCCAAGTTATGACTAAATCAGTAACTAAGGCCTGTCCAATATTTAAAAATTATCAAGTCAAAAGTAAAAGGTCAGTTTAGATTTAATGAGCTTCTACTTCTACACAATCTGTTACATAATATTTGAAAACATTTTAGCTATGGGTCACACTATTCTCTTAATTCACATTTACATCAAGTTTATATCCACTGGTTTTTATAAATATTTATTTCACACACACAGAAACCGCAGAAAAAGAAAGAAAGAAACCACTGAATCCCTTGCCTTAGTTGATACAGCACATAATAAAACAAAACAAGGTTGAGTATAAAATAAATAAAATGTAAAATAAATGTGATTACAGATAATGCATCATTCAGTATAAGTTCAGAATTGTATGCAGAATTATATTTTTATTTAAAGGTAAAGCACGCAATAAAAGAAAACAGAAAAGAAAACAACATTATGTCAACGTGAATCTTCATCTAGAAAATATATCCATACCAATCAAAGACTTAAATTCTTTTATTTTGTCTCATGACAGCAGCTTCTACTTGGAACAATTTACTGTAAGAAAATAGCTGAAATTAGTCATTGCCCTTTAGCTTATGTAAATACATTATAAGAATAGATAAATTATCTCAGTAAAACAACAATAATAATTTCATTAGTTATAGCAATATGCTCAAAAAAATTCTGTCTCTTAATTAAACATGTTATGGTACAAAATGTTTGATCATATTAATTGAAAAAAGAATAAATGTTTCCAGAAAATACCAGATCCAATGGGTGCCACAATGGAGGCAGCTCATCATGAAGATAATAAATTGAAAAACAGATACAAAAACGTGTCTCCTTGTAAGAAACTTTAAAATTATCCCATTATGATTTAAAGTATATTTTGTAAGTAGTCTTTTGATTTAGCTGAGCATGTTTTTAAAGCTAGTGTAATAGGTAATTAATTTAAAAGCAGTCTAAACAAAGAATTCCAATACTGTCTGTACAAATATAGATGACCACTCTAGAGTCTATCTGGAAACTGACACAAATCAAAATGACGGAGATTACATAAATGCTTCATATATTGCAGTAAGTTTTGATACTAAGACTATTGTCAAGATGTTGTCGTATGAGGTGTTTACATTATAGTTGAACTCTTGGAGTTTCAAAGTTTAAAGATATTTTAGATATAAATATATATATATATATATATATATATATATATATATATATATATATATATATATATATATATATATATATACATATATATATATATATATATATTTATATTAATCTGTCTCTCATGATGACTTTATATTGGATTTCTACAAACACATAACATATTTTTGTTCACTATCAAAATTACTACATATATAAATTAGAGGTTTTACTGTACTGGAGATGTAAAAAAAATCAATTATTTGCTTACAGGATCACAAAAATAACCGAAGGTTTATTGCTTCTCAAGGTCAATTTGTTTTTAATATTTCCTTTTTACCTTCTGAGCCACCAGTTTTAGTAGTATTGTTCAATAAAATAAAACATGTAGTCCAACATACAATTTTATTTAATATCTTTTATTATTATGTTTCTATCCAAGTAATAAAATATGTATAGCAAATAATACATACTTTGTATATAACAAGATAGTGCTCATTTATATTACAGGACCAACTTTGTCAACACTACATGATTTTCTGAGAATGTTACTTGAACAGAGGGTTGAAATTGTTGTTATGTTGACGAACTTAATAGAAGAACAAAAAGTAAGGATGTATTAAAGTTAATATTATTATTTATTTTTTCAATTTATCGACAGATTTTTTTTTAGATAAATGTGAACTAGTCTACATATTTTAATACTCATACTTCCAACTGGTTTTAAAGAATCAAATCATAATTAGAGGTGTAAGTACTATAAAAATGATTCTTTTTTAGACAAAGTGTGACAGGTACTGGCCAGAGGATGAAACAATGATTGTAAATGACATTCATGTTAAGTTGATATCCATTGAAGTTTTTACAGACTACACAATTAGGTCCTTAAAATTAGCTAGGGTGAGTACTAACACTAGCAAGTAGCTTCAAATGTTGTAGTATTGAATAAACCATCGCATTTAAAATTACCACTGTATTTTAAATTGTATTAAATATTATATACTTGCTCATTCGAGAAAATATATTAAAAAATATTTGTATTTTTATTTACTTTATTTACTTAAATATGGCATAATCTAAAATTTAAAAATATAATTGTAAGCAATCTATGATGCTTTTGAAATTGTTACCTATAAACAAAGAATACAATCTATTTAGAAAGGAAAACCATCCCACCACTTAAAGCATTTTCACTACACATCATGGCCTGACAGAGGTGTCCCATCAACACCCTGGGCACTGATTGACTTCTTGTATAAAGTGGATGTCAACTCTACAGAAAAGCCAATTGTAGTTCATTGCAGGTGACAGAGTGTGTCAATAGTATAGATTTTATATACAATAATTAATTTCAGGCTTTGGGTCTTAAAATTGATATTTTTAGATAATTTTGGAACAATATTTAGTATGCTAGGCTAGTAAATTACTATAATTTGGACATTTTTGATTTAACTTTAAATAATTAGATGTTTGTAATTTTGTTTACTTAAGAAATATTTTATAGATTTTATTTGAAGTTGTACATTTCAGTGGACTAAGGACTAATTTAGAATTTTTTTTACCCTATCAGTGCTGGTGTTGGCCGTACTGGAACATTTATTGCACTACATAATCTAACAGAGCAGGCTAAAGAGACTGGGAGTGTGGATTTCTTTAAGACACTCGTCAAGCTTAGACAGGATAGGATGATGATGGTTCAGATGCCTGTAGGATTTAATTCTGGAGTTACTGCATAAAACAGAATTATGTTTAATATGTGAAGTTAATGTATAAAATAGTGGCAGCATTTATCTGTAGTGGTATTGTATAAGATATTGCAAGTAATATTTACAAGTGAAACTACACATATACCATAAGATTTGTATCATTTTTTTCATTATGTTTTCCACATCTTTTGAATATCTATTGCAGCAACAGTATGAATTTCTACACAAAGCTGCACACGTTGCCATTGCGTGCAGTGGGACTACAGTCAAAGCTGATGACCTTTCAACTTTTGTACAAATGTTGGCAGACATTACAGAACTAGCTAAGGAATTTCATGTAAAACATTTTTCAAAATTTTAATCTGAGCTAGAGTAAAATGAGGTTAACATTACATTTAGATTAACTTTTGTTTGTTTTTTAATAATGTTTTTTCATAGTATCTACAACAGTTCTGTTTACATTTTTTTTAAAAAGTATATTCAATTATTGATGCTTTAGTGCTAGATTTAATGTAGGAACTTATTAAGGGGAGCTCAACCGTAAATGAAATCACGCTCTTTTTGAAGAATTTACCTCCCCTACCTATACGTCACATCTCAGCATATACCCTACCCCTCGAAATAGCAGTTGTTTTTTGTTGGGGGGGGGGGGGTGTGGAGGGGGCTACATCGATTTATTTTCAAAAAAGTTACTGATATTGGTGTAAACAGAGTGCATAAAACAATTTCTAATATAATTTACAAAACCAGTTTCCTAGAACTCAAAATAACGGCTAAATTTCAGCTTCTATTATATGTTTTTAAAAATACTTTAATGTAACATAACACTTTCTATATCCACACCCTCATCAAATATCATTACAAAATTCCAACCCCCACCCCCTTCTCCACTTTAGTGATGTTATTTACAAACGAATCCTAGGCCTAATTATTTAAATTACAATGTACTGCATTAACTTAACGAACTCGTGAACAATTCAGTTATTATTTGCTTTTATTTAATTAGACATTAACAAAAGTTGTTCAAGACTTAAATAAACTTGAAGGAACAGAAGGTGAAGAAAATATTTATGAAAATAATGAAATACAGATAAAAAGCAGATTCCCTTCTATAGCTGCAAGTAAGTAAAACAACATCACTGATTGATGTATAATTAATGTGAAATTAAATAATTTATAGTATTTCATGAGAAAGTTTCTGTTAAATATTTTATGTGCTCTGTTTTTTAATTTAAGTGATATATTCAAATTTACTATGCAGTTTTTTCCCCTTAGCCTTATGCTCTCAAATAATTGTTAGATCATTTGCCTCTTTGTTTTCACTGATGTTAGTCAGAACCAATCAGAGTTCATTAGATGCAGGAGTGTTGTAATAAAACAACATCTAGGAAGGAATGGAACTCAAGACATTTAGTGCATATTGTTTACCTATAGGCTACATATTATAGTCATACACATTTTTCCCACTAATATACATGAAAGTATTCACAATAAAATTTGTAATATTCTTAGCCTCACTAACTTAAATGTATTGATATTTAAATTCACATATATATCAAATGTAAATTTAAAAGGCTCTATTATCCAATAATAAGTGTCTAGTTTTACCTACATTGTCATTATTCTTATTCTCTGTCCAGAGTCAAAAATTTCTCATTCTCCCTCCACAGAGCCCTGTCACAGAGCAGTGTTAACAGATGAGCCTACAGAAACAATCGAGTACATCAATGCTGTTCTTATCCCAGTAATAATTATATATTACTATGAGTAAACTCAAGTTTTTTAACACATTTTTTAAAACAAATTATATGAATCAATTTTTATAGACTGTTCCATGGACACGTTTTTATTCTGCCATAGATTAACCATTAAAGTAACAATGTTACTGTTTCTAAACTAGTGTTACACAACAAGAAGCAGTAACATCCTGACTCAGCTCCCTCTGCCAGCAACTGTGGCTGACTTCTGGAAACTGATCACACACTACGAGGTACAGCTGATTGTATCGTTTGAGTTGGATCAAGTCTCACAAGATGAGGTAAAACATTTACAAGCATGTCTGAACTAATCAACATGTATTTGTTAATCATATGATCCCATTAGCCTTTTACATGATAGTTCCCTGTCAGACATTCAATGGGTAGTTTTTTCTTATTTCTTTGTTATAGATCTAGATTTAATACTTTTGGTATAATGTTAATCCTATCCTATGCTATACCTCATATATTTTATGCATTACTATTGACGCTAGTTTCTAAAATATTAGTTAATCTAGAAAAAGTTAGTTTTTTAGTGAAATTTTTAGAAAACCATAACTTTTTTAAAACAAAGTTTTAAAGTTGTATTTATGTAAGTCTAAAGTACTTTTCTTATTTTTTCAGTCTATAGGCAAATTTTTGCCATCAGATGGAGAGGACTCCCTAGTGGTTTCCATGTTTAAAATAATGACAGGACAAGTGAAGAAAGGAGCATGCTGGGAGGAACAAAATATTACACTACTAAAGAGCTGCAGCACATCAGCTGTAAGAATTTCAAGATTTTTAAACTTTCACTTTATCTGTAAATACAATTTACTTAGAAGATAGTTGGTAACAATTAATTATTGAATTAGAACATTTTAAAATTTTGTAGCACTTTTTTAATATAATTTTTTTATTTGAGTTTTATTCCAGTTAGCAGCTCAGTATAATATTATTGAAAATAACAATGTTAGGTCTGCTTCAAAAAAGAAAAAAAAAATGGTAGAAAATTTAAATCAATGCAGTGAATTTGAAAAAATACAATTCTTTTTTCACCAGGAGCTTGAAGAGCAAACGGTGAAACTTCTGAGCACCAAATGCACTGATATGAAACCCAAAGACTGGCTTGCATTCATCAGGAGAATTAAGAAACATAAATCACAAACTGATGGTACCATTGTATACATGTGCAGGCGAGTTATCTTATCCCAAATGAAAAATTGTTTTTAGTGTGTAAACACATTTTTTCTTATCAATATTTTTTAGATTAATATATTTTTGCAAATTGAAATTCAACAACACACATGGATATATAATGGGGGGGGGGGGTGCAATTTTAACCTAAAACAGTCTGTCAATGATTAAAGTAAAATAATAAATAAAGTAAAATGCTGCTTTTGTGTACATCCCATTAAATCATAACATCCAAGCTAAAGAACTTTTTATTAGTGTACACCAGGTTACATCATAACATTCAAGTTAAAAAGAAAAACTTCTTGTTGGTAATGCTAGTGCCTCTAAACAAAATAAAAAGCAGTGAAAAGATAAACCTAAAAGAAAGGAAATTTGTGGAATAAAGTGGTCGAATAGTAGTGTTTGACTACATGCCCTAAGGACTTATGTTCAGATAGCGGCCTGGACTTGGGACTTTAGTACATCCTTGAGTCCACCCAGCTCTTATAGGTACCTGATAGGTGGAGGAAAGTAAAGGCCAAAATGAAAACAAATTTTAGCTCCATCTGCCCTATGGATCTTTATGTACTAAAGGAGAGCTTTAAAAATCAATAAATGCATGCAAATGATATTTTCCTTAATATCAAAACACTGCACATTTAGGAATGGAGCCAAGTACAGTGGATTAGCATGTGTTCTGGGTCTTTTAATAGACAGAATAGAAAAGGATCAAAGCCTAACAGTCCCAATCATTGTTGGTGCAATAAAATCTATTCGACCTGAAGTGATTTCCACCTTTGTAAGTTAAAATAACTATAACTTTTTATTTTCTGCACAACAGATTCCACATTGTTGTTGTAAATATACAATATTTCTTTCTCTTGTTTTAATCTCATTTTTGCATGATTAATAATAATTTATTTTTATTTTCTGTTTTTTATTTTGGGTTATACCTTTGGCTTTTAAGAATTGACTGCTGTTTATTTTTTTTCTTTGAGAATCGTCATTTTTATTTGAATCTCTGCTAACAGTACTATCTTTGTTTTTACAAATGATATTTGTTTCAGGATCAATACCGGCTTCTCTATCAAGTTTTGGCCTTACATTGCAACACAACTTGTCTTAATGAAGGAGATACATCTGGATCTCTAGAAAACTTGGATAAGATAATGTGCAATGACAGCATTTATGCTAATGCTGAGACTAACAATGTTTCATAACAGATATGCTTATACATGTGCCTACAAACACAAACTAATAAACAGATTTCTAGATTTTTCAACATGTATACAATCATTACTATAATAGAAATAGAAATGAAATGAATTTATTTTAATTTTATAATTAAAGTTTGCCAAGAATGTTTTAAATAAAATGTTGTAATTTACTTCAATTCATTATTGTACTTGTTCAATTTGCAAAATTCATTTTATAACAGCTTAAAGAACTTCATTAACCATTTGCCTACCCAAAATTTAATATTTTTTTTTACGATTTTAAAAAGTATAGTGCAATAAGATAATGTCAAGAACTATAAGATGGTTCAGTTCTGAATAGACCCAACTATATTATAAAATGAATAGCAATAAAATAAATGCAAAATTACTATTACAGTATAACGTATTCATTGTTGTGTCCTTGTCTTCTTTATATATTTAATTTTTTTGTAATTATACGTTTTAAAAATAAAACGTATTGCTTAATTAAAATAAATCACTGAGAAATAAAATTCGTTAATATTACACGTCTTGTTCATTATTTAATACTTCGTGTCTTTAAGATATTTAGCATGTTCATTTTTAAATAGCCTCCTAATTCAAATTTGTTGTAAATTATTATCACATTCATTTAATTATTCAAAAGTGTATCTTAAAGGTCGTAAATACCAACTTTACACTCCTAGCAGAAGTGAGGGAGGGAGGTTGATTCAGACAATTGACAAGTGGCGTAGCCAGAATCGTATGTTGGGTTTGGTATATATATATATATATATATATATATATATATATATATATATATATATATATATATATATATATGGTGTCAATAGACACTCTTATGCGTCTGCAGCTAACTAGGAAACTCAGTATTTTAATATATTATAACATACAACCAGTGTACATCGTCTATTAATGATTATAACAAATTCAGAAAACGCAATACAAGCAGTGTTTCTTCCAGACTTTTTTCTCCGGGGGGGCACTTGAAATTTTCGGGGGGGGGGGGGGCGGTAGACTTTCTTCGGGGGGGGGGGGGGCGGACACTGTTATTTTCTATATAAATTATATAAATTTCATTTTGTTCGGGGGGGGGGGGGGGGGACGGTAAAATTTTTCGAAGAGATGCCTGGAAGAAACTCTGAATACAAGTACAACAACAGAATAAACAGATAAGCAGTACATATAAAATTACTCTGCTAAAACTCAGCTAAAATCTGATTGGACGCTGAAAAAGAAAGTTTCTAAGTGAATATTTAACTTTAAAAAATTAGGCATTGAATTGTTAATGTATCACACACAAAGTTATAACATTGATGAACAATATCTTCACTTACATCGCAGATGGACATCTGCACTTTTTAAGAAGTCAGATGTCCCATACAGTCATATATATATATATATATATATATATATATATATATATATATATATATATATATATACATATATATATATATATATATATATATATATATCCATATATATATATATATATATATATATATATATATATATATATATATATATATATATATATATATATATTTATATATACATATATAATTCGGCGCTTTGTTATTGCCGTTTTCGATCCTTACATTAAAAACAATTGGATGTCATTTTAGGAATGGAGTCTTACTTTATGCAACGATGTTTTAAGTTAGAGATAGGGTTTAGAATTGTTTTGAAAAGTGTGATTGAACCCTAACTTCATTGTTATGATAAGGACATTAGGTTATATTTATTATAAATTATTATAAAATAACAAAACGTCAATTTATTTTAGGCTATAGAATTAACAATATCTATGTCAATGAACTTTAGTTGTTGTTTTTTTAATAGTTTAGGGATAATGATAATGTTGGCAATAGGGTTAGAAATAAGCCGATAGCATAAAGTATTACAGTGACACCAAACACGAAAAGATCACCAGTTGTTTATTTACAATATTTCTTCAATTTTCAAGAGCAATTTTAGAACCTGTTAACTTTATTTTGGACCTACCTGGATTGAGTCTGGATTAGGTTTTTAAAAGAAAAAGCGAAAGGCAAGTGTAACTCTGCTTAAAAATCCTCCGTAATCTATATGATATACTGCTGTAAAAAACGCATGAGTTTGTGCACACTGTTTTTAATCCAAGTATTCTAAAATAATTATTTTTCTTGCTTATTCAAACTAACATCTAATCAGAACTCACGACGTAGCGACTCTGTAATGTACAAGACTAAGATTCCGTCAACCTAAACTGTACAATACCTAAATATTTACGTCTTCAGAATCTTTATTTATATGGCAAGATTAGCGATTTTTATTACAAGGTATTATTTTTTTTTTAACAAATGAAATGTGTCAGAGGCGTTGTGAGGAGGGAGGTGAGGAGGCGGGGTGCGGACCGCACCGGGTAACACCATTATAGATACACATATATACATTATAGATACATTATATAGATACAAATGATTAAATAGAGTTAAATAGTCATCTAAGAGCTAATCCCAACTAAAGTAGGTGGGGGCGGGGGAGGGGGGTGGATCCATGAAGTTAACCTGCTAACGATAAATAAAACAATGCTATATACAGCCGTATTAATAACCTACTATAGATGAACATCGTTATTATTATCTGTGTACAGTTCAAAGCTATCTCGAGGGGGGGGGGAATTGACACCAACAAAACGTTGTAACAATTGCCTGAGGAAAAAGGTTTTGTTACTAATTGTAATAACTGATATGTCTATCAACTATTGGGATGGGGGTGACACCAAATAAAATCTTTCTACAGAAGCAATGATTTTTCCACTTGAATTTGGCCCCTCAATGCTTTTTTAGGTGGATTAAGATAAGTTGACTTCGCTAGACAAAAAGAGAAGAAGTGGGGAGGGGGGGTTGAAACCAAAAACACTGTCCACCGAAGTTGATTGGGGTAAAACCACATTGGAAATTTACAAATCTACATATCAATGGCAATAAAAAGCAAGCAACATAAAATAGGACTGGTTGACTTGCAACATTGACACATTTTGACACTTTTCGTTGAAAAAAAGTTTCGACACAATTAATTCACTTCGTAAATCATGTTAATATTGATATTGTGTATATTATGCAATGGAATATGTAAAATTCTAATTATTTAATTAGATATTTAGTATACCTGTAGAAATATTATAAACTTTTAAAACAATTTAGAAAACACGTTTTACATTTTGAAAACATTATAATCAGACGAACATATTTTTTTTCTCCTTTTTATGGCACAAATTGAATAAACCAATTATTTTGTAGTAAAATGAATAATTAATTCTAATTTAATATGATTTATAACAAAAAAAAACGGCAATGTTGTATTTAAGAAAATAGCCTAAATTAAAGATTAACTGCCTCATTTGAACAATAACATGTAATTAAATAAAATATATTTAACTTGTCGGATCTTTCCACCACAATGACTGCATAAGGATAAAATTCTTAAATGATTCAGATGAATAAAGACTCATTTTAAATGTTTAAACAATGTAGCGCTTATCACACAGCTTTGCCCCGGAAGGTATTAACGAGACTAAAGTACTGAATCAGGAAGTTTTGTCACAAGTAGTTTTTGTTTAGATTTAACCTGCAAACTATGTAAAAGAAACAAACTACCATTTAAAGTATGTTTGGATTTTTGGTTTAAAATTCTACATAATTTGTTTGAATGAACGACCCTACACAGAGTATGTTGGTTAGATGTTGGCCCATAATATCAGCTCGGCTAGTTACGTTCAGTAGTGTGGAAAAGACACCAGGCTATTGTGAGCACAAATAAAGATGACTCTATTAAAAATTCTGCTTCTCGCCGAGTTCTATTTCATCACTGGAAATTTTTCTGGTAAGTTACTTATAATTCAAACGAAAAATATATGATTTAGGTTTGCAAATAAGGAGTTAAAAAAGTAATTCTTTTCATTGCGAACGAGAACGTTTTACACGAGACTTAAAATATTTCGTTCTTTATATTAGTCAATATACCAACATGGTCAACCAACTCAAACACCTACAAGTGTAACTGTGCCACTGGACAATGTGGAGGTAACACACCATGTCCAGATGGTCAGTGTTCTACATGGTGGTTTGGTCCTGCCTGCCAGTACCGTGAGTTACAATTGTTAGTCATGTTATTAGCGTCTTGACCTTTGTTGTAGGTTTTACCGTGCTAAATAGTATGTTTACTGATTTTTTAAACGACCGTGTTGCAAATGTAGATACCAGAACCGCACAATATCTCCTTACAGAAAATATCCTAAATTCCAACTACACAACAGGTGTAAGAACAGAGTTGCATGATGGCAGAGACGACACCTGTGTTATCGTAACGGATTCGCTTGATATAACTTTTAATAAATCCTACCTGTTTACATGGTTACGTTTTACTGTTCGAGAAACAGGTGATTATGTTTTTGAATCTCTTAATGTGATGAATAATATTTTAACATCTCTATTTAGTATTGTTAATATTATATTTTATTCTGTTTCGAATAAAAAAATTACTCAAGTAGAAAAAATTATCGAATGAATTACATTTTGCAGGCTTCAGCCGATTTTTTTTTAATTTTGCTTTTCTTAATAAGTATTTAGCCTATATCTATTATCTTCTTTCTGCCCTAAATCGTTTATGGAAAAGCTAACAGAAGACATTGCAAACAGCAAAAATATATTAGTATTTTCTTGGTAATGGATTAAAAAATTGCTCAGGTACTTTTTTAAATTATTTATTTAAGGCAGTAACGAAGACAGCTTTAGTCTTACTTTCAAGAACAACACACCCGACTGGACAATCCCCTGCAACAAACTAAACACCAACGTAGTCAACAACAGGACAACAGACGTCTGGTGTGATATGAACCAAACAACAAATGCTCTCAAGTTGACATGGGACAAACCCATCACAATTTGTTCGCTTTATATCAGTGGGGGTCAGTAACTGTGGTCTGTATGTAAATATGGAAGTTAAAATTTATTGGATAGCGTAGATACACACACACTCACGTATATATATATATATATATATATATATATATATATATATAATTCTCTTCTGGGAGCCGCTAGAAAACAAGCTGCAAACGCGCCTAGAAAACAAGCTGTAAACGCGCTCCCTACCTCCCCACCCCTACATGGTTTTAGTGAGCTGTGTTCACTCTTAATGTTTACAAGCAGAGCCAACGATTTTAAACGGAGGGGGGGGGGGGGGGAAGGGGGGGGGGAGGAAAGGGGGGGGGGGGGGGGGTTATGGTCCTTAACGAGCTACTTATAGTATTTTAAAGAAACGAGCCGGCCCGCGGCATAACATACGCCGCTATTTAGTTGTTTCTAATTTTCAATAATTCATAATTTGTGAATTCGACAGTACCAACGCTGACACTGAAAATATTTCTTTAAAAAACTATAAGTAGCTCGTTAAGGACCATAACCCCCTCCCCCATTCCTTCCCCCCCCCCTCCCCCCCCCCCCCCCCCTACG